ATATTTTTTTTATATTTAACAAAATGATTCTATTATGGCAGAAACGGGCTGCACAGACGCTATATCCAAGAAACAGTTCTTGCTCTGTTCTGTTTGTGTGAGTCTGGGTCTGTCACCCCACTGTGCCCTCCACCGAGGTGTCCCACGACTGCACACGGGCCCACTAGGTCTCGCCCTGTCCCCTCCCCTCTGGCCGCCTCGGTTCTGTGGTGGGCATCTGAGTTTGTTTTCATCAGGCCTGGTCAGCCCTGCTGCTCTGTTACTTTACATCCCTCAGAGGAGTGAGTGAGACAGCCGGAATGTCTCCCTCACTTATTCCACAGAACCCAACTCCCGCTGGTCTCCTCCATGCTGGGGCAAAGGCAAGATTTCCTTTCATCTCATGGCTGTGTAGTATTCCACTGTGTGCCGAGCACAGCCTCTTACCCCAGCACCTGTGTCAGCCTTGTCCTCGTCCTGACTGGTGTGAGCTGCCCACCACAGTCACCTCTATCTTTCTGGACGTTTCTGTGCGCGTGGAAGGGGCGAAAGGCATGGAACCCCTGGGTTGTTTGAACGATGCTCCCGTGTCTTTGCACGCTGGTCCTGTCTCTGCCCTCACGGGCCTGAAACGCTGTTTTCCACAGAGGCAGAACCAATTCTGACTCCCATCTCCGCCCCTCAGGGGTCCCCAGGCACTGTGTGAGATGACTCTGTCCGTCTGACGTGCGAAAGAACCGATCAAGGCTCTTCTGGGGGCTGAGGCGCAGCGTCCTTGGTGCTGTTTTAGGAGTCGGAGAGTCACTCCCGTGGGATTGATATTCAGGGCTTCATTACTGGGGATTTTGTATTTCCACAGGAGCTTGTTTGAGCGTTTGGAAATGCCCCCACTGAAACGGCAGTGTCGGGTCCGGGTCTCTGGAACTGGGGGTACAGGATGACCGCGGCCTGGAGGACGTTCCTGCTGGAACTGCCTTGGGCGGGGCATGGGAGGGAGCTGTCCCGGGAGCTTGGGAACGCCTGCATTTTCCGATTGACATTAGTAAGATTCATTTTGCTTCAGAGCGTTTGCTTTTGCTTCTAATTTTAGAATTCTGATTTCCTGATGATTTTTATTTTAATAGCGCTTAAAAAAAGGCTCCACATTTCAGAGTGACAGGGACGGTAATAGGAATGCAGGAAGGTGCTCTCCTGGGGGGCTCAGGGCTGGACTCTGCGTGGCATGGCCAGGGCAGCCCTCTCTGCTGTTCCTGAAAGCGTCTCTGTGCTCTGTGGGGTCTGGGCAGTGTCTGAAAGCGAGACCCAAGATGCAGGACGCGGCTCTAAGGAACACTTTTTTTTTGTTTGTTTGTTTTTTGGGTCACACCAGGCAATGCTCAGGGGTTACTCCTGGCTCTGCGCTCAGGAATTACCCCTGGCGGTGCTCAGGGGACCATATGGGATGCTGGGAATCGAACCCGGGTTGGCCGCATGCAAGGCAAACGCCCTCCCCGCTGTACTATTGCTCCAGCCCCTCTAAGGGACACTTTTATAAGTTGCTTATGGGGGCCAGGGGGCCACTGCGCCAATACCTGCCTGTGTGTTGGCTAAATGGAGCAAGGTGAGCGCGGCTGCTCGCGATTAGGGCGTTTTCCTTCCCCGCGGTCCTGTGACCGCCAGCCTGCTCACCTTCGCCTGTGTTGTGGCCGGGACCCAGGCTGGCTGTTTTCTCCCTCAACAGGGCCTCTCTTTGTTCTCGGATGAAAGCAGGAATGAGCTCGCGTCCCCCAAACATGCACAGAGGCGCCGTGACAAAGCTTGCCCTGTGCTGCTGCTGCATCTGACCCTCACGGCAGCTTGGGAGGGGACATCACAAGGTCCGTGATCCGCAGTTTGCAAACAAGAAAGGCGCAGCGCAGCTTAGCCCAAGGTCACAGCGGCTCCCGGGGGAGCCCAGAGGCCCCGCTGAGGCCTGCGAGCCTCTCGGAGGAGGCCTGTGGGTGCCAGGCGCGAGGCTGCTCTATTCTCCCGTGGCAGACTGCGGCCCGGGCCCAGATCGGAGTAGGTGCTGCACCGCCCCTGCTGGCGCCTCTTGCTCTGCTGCTTCGGGACGGAGGTCTGACGCCTGCTGTTCGCGAGGCTGGCGCTGAGGGCCCAGCTGGCCCTGGCGCCTGGACGCTACCCCAGAGGCAGCAGCCCGACGAAGGTGCGTTCCCTCATGCAGAGGCGGCTCTGGGCAGACCGATGGCTCGGCACTCTGCGTCCTCCATGCAAATTCCCAACATCGATATTGGTTTTTTATTGATTTTGGTTTTGGAGTCACATCGGTGGCCCCCAAACCAGGCTACCTCTGGCTCTGTGCTTGGGACCCCACAGTGCTGGGGACCCTCTGAGCCCCTTGTGCAAAGCACGGGGTGGCCCCACCCCTGGCACTGCTCTTTACGCTTGTGTTTGTGTTACGTGAGTGGGTGTTGCATGAAAAAGTTCTCCGGGAGCTTGTTTACAATCCTGGGTACACAGAACTGTAATAAAATGTGGATGAATCTCCTGATAACCAGAGACAACATTGCTAATGATGGCTGAAAATGCATGAGCAAGAGAAAGAGGTTGGCAAATGGTGTTATTAAGCTTTGCCCCGGCCTCCCAGGGCTCAGCAGACAAACAGACTGGAAGCCAGGAGAGGCGGGAGCACCCTCACCACAGCCGGGGCTGTGCCAGAAACAGGCGGAGAACTCGGGGCCCCTGTGGCAGCGGGGGAGGGGGAGGCTGGGAATGGTCACGAGGTAGGACTGTGTTAGCCTGGGGGAAGCCAGTTCAAAATGGCGTCACATTTGGGGTGCCCTGCAGCCAGCATCCACAGCCAGCATGTCCCCAGCATGTCCCCAGCATGTCCCTAGCATGTCCCCAGCATGTCCCCAGTATGTTCCCAGCATGTCCCTAGCATGTCCCCAGCATGTCCCTAGCATGTCCCCCTCCAGCGTCTCCCCAGCATCTCCCCAGAGTCTCCCCAGCATCTTCACTGTGCAGTGGACCTTTGAACACTGGCAGTGGAGGAGTGGACAGCTGAGAAGCCCAGTTTTAACTTCACCCCACACAGCTTTTGGGTGGCCCTCATTGGTCACATCTGGGGTCAGAGACCCCTAGGAATGAAAATAGCCTCAGAGAGGTGGAGGGGCATGGACTCCTGCGGAGAGAAGCCCCTTTGGCCCGAGCACCCTCAGCCTGCCAGGGGTTCTGGCGCATGGGGCCAGGTCAGGGCTGGCTGCACGGCGGAGGGCTCCAAGCCAGAAGCTGCTGTTTGTGAGTTTCTCTGGCCTGGGGCTGGGGTGGGACTGCCACACCCCAGATGGGATGCCGTGGACTGGTCCACTAGGCTGCGGGAATGCTGAGGACCTGGGAGACCCTGTCCTCATGCCTGGACTTGTGGGCTCCGGGGGCTGCCGGGCAGGGCCGGGCATGAGGGGAGGCCAACAGAGACTGCAGGGAAGGCCCCAACCCACGGTCACTCACGGTCAGCCACAGTCACCCGAGGTCACCCACGGTCATCTGCTATCACCCATGGCCACCTGCAGTCACCCATGGTCACCCAAGGTCATCCACAGTCACCCGTGGGAACCCCCAGTCACTCATGCTCACCACAGTCACCTGTGGTCACCCAAAGTCACCTACGGTCACACATGGTCATCCACTATCACTCATGGTCACCTGCAGTCGTCCATGGTTACCTATAGTCATCCAAAGTCACCTATGGTCACCCGTGATCACTAACAGTCACCCACAGTCATCCATGGTTACTCACGGTCACCTGTGGTCATATTCTATACCCTGTGGTCACCCCTGTTCATATTCTATACCCTGTGGTCACTTTCGGCCACCTCGGGGAATCCCTTCTCGTGCTCCCACTGTGCCCTAGGGGTGCCACCAGGACCACCCCATCCCCACCCTACCAGTGCTGGGGTCACCAGTGCTGGGCCTTGGTATGAAGCCACAGGTCAGCCCCTCTGGTGGTCGAGCCCAGTGCAGCCCTGCTGGACTGCACCCCGTGGGGAGGGGTGGGAGGCCCAAGGCTCTGCCCATCACCCCTCAGCCCGGAAACTGCTTTTCTAGAAGAATCCAGGAACTGCAGAGGCGGGTCCAGAAAATCTTGCTCAACTTCCTCTCTGGAGGAGGCAGTCTCTGGAGCTGGGGGTGTCCAGAACTGGGCCAGGGCGCCCTCGTCCTCGTGTCTTGGGTCAGTGACGCTGGCCCCAGGTGGCTGCTCCCATCCCAGCTGCAAGTGCCAGGTCACAAGGACACTCCAGGGCCATCAGACGGTCGGGCCCAGGGGCCCCTCAGGAAGAGTCAGGAGGGGCCGGGAGGGTCTGCTCTGACTCCCGTGGGTGGAGGTGGAGGCTCGGGGGGTTCTGGGCGTTCCGGGGGCTCCAGCAGGGACAGAGCGGGACCCTGGCCCGAGTCCCAAGGCCTGCAGTGGGCGCAGTGCACTGGAGGTGACCGGCAGTTCTGTCCTGGCCAGGCAGAGCCGGGCAGCTGGTCCCTGCTGGTGCACGGTGGCTGAGGGGTCTCTGAGGGAATGCGTCTCTCGAAGCTGGTTCCCAAGGTGCCCAGAGACCTCGAGTCTCCAGGCACAGAACAGAATCACAACATCAATTTATTATGAAAATATTTCCATCGGGTGACAACCAGGACAGAGAAGGTGACGCAGACCCAGAGAAGCGTTGGGGGCAGCACCCACCCAGCGTCTGCGGCTGCCCCAGGAGGCTGCTGGGGCGGCTGCCTTTGTCTTTATTGCGCGGTTTCTGAGCTCCCAAGGTCTTGGATCTCCTTCCTCCAGCCCTTCACAGCTCTTGGCTCAGATGGTGGGCCCCAGCCTGAAGCTTCGAGAAGAATCACTGGTGACAACAGCTGCTCAGCCATAAGCGTGGTTAATCATTAAATATAAAAATCATTTATACATGGCTACAAATATCTTAAAAAGGAGAGAGAGAGAGAGAGAGAGAGAGAGAGAGAGAGAGAGAGAGACAGGGGGAGAGACTGTCTTAGAAACCGTAGGGGCCACAGGACTCCGGGATCCATCTGAGCCGACCCCGCAGGAAGCCGTCAGAGGCCTTTAGCTGGGAAGGGGCAGTGAGTGCCGGGGTGACCCTCGGAGTGCAGCCTGGGCGCTGCCCGTCGGCCAGCAGTGGCCTCTGCAAGGTTGGGGGCGCTCGGCTGCTCAGGGATGATATCCCAGGTCTCGTCAGCACCAGCCCCGCCTGCCCCGTTGGTGAGGTTCAGCCTCTGCGTCTTCCTCGGGTGGAGTGTCCCCTGACCACGTGGATGGCGGGCAGAGGCGCGGCCGGCCGGCAGGAGGCATCGAGGGACGGGAACTGGGTGTCTGCAGAGACTTGTGCCAGTGTCTGCAGAGACTTGAGCCACACTGGCCACGGCCCCCCGCTTTCCCGCCACGTCAGCTCGGCGTCCCTGCACACACGGTACTCCAGGGGGATGGAGCCCCATGGGGCCCAGGACGAGTCCAGCCGAGGGCACGGGCCCCAAGATCACCACACTCGGCACTTCTTGGTGGGGTTCATGTAGTCACGACTGTGGCAGTTGTAGGCTTGGGAGAACTCAGGGGAGTTCTGCAGGGTCCCGATGATCCTGGAAGCAAAGCAGAGCAAGGACACGTCACCAGGAGCCGCCATGACACTCTGTGTGGGAAAGGAGGGGGCCAGCATGCCACGCGCCGTGCTCTGACCCGCCCCGGCCGCCTGGCGACTGGACAGTCACTCCCTTTGGTCCCAGTGACACGGATGAGCTCCAGGGTTGTCCAGTGAGGCCCGTGTCCAGGCTGCAGATGGAGGTTCTCAGGTGCGTTTTAGAAAGTGGGAACAGTGCAGAGGGGTGTCTCGGAAAGTGGTCACAGTGCAGAGGGTGTCTCAGAAGGTGGGCACAGTGCACAGGGTGTCTCAGAAGGTGGTCACAGTACAGAGGGTGTCTCAGAAGGTGGGCACAGTGCACAGGGTGTCTCAGAAGGTGGTCACAGTACAGAGGGTGTCTCAGAAGGTGAGCACAGTGCACAGGGTGTCTCAGAAGGTGGTCACAGTGCAGAGAGGTCTGCCCAGAAGGTGGGAATAGTGCAGAGGGTCTCTCAGAAGGTGGGCACAGTGCAGAGGGGGTCTCTCATAAGGTGCGCACAGTGCAGAGGGGGTGTCACAGAAGGTGGGCACAGTGCATGGGGGGCTCCCCATGACTGCCGCCAAATGGGGTCAATGACAGCTCTTGTCTTCGTGCTTGTGGGAAGCTAGACCGGGGTCTCGTGGCTAAGGCGATGTATGCAGGTGTTTCACTCTATTACATGAAAGAGGTGACTGTCTCGTCCCCTTGACTGGGGCGCTTGTTTTCATGACCCTCAGGGACAGAGCGGGACAGTGTGACCAGGCTGGACTTTAGTCCCATTGCATACCTGAGCTTCCTGCACGCAGGACGCTGAGCTCGAGGCAGCTCAAGGCCCGGGTGAGGCTTCTGCTGTGCCCAGAGCCTGTGGGCCCCGGGATGGTGAGGCTCAGTGGCCGGCCTGCCGTGTTGGTACAGTTCTGACAAAGCCCCCCGAGGCACCGTAGGCCCACATCTAACACCAGCCAGGGGTCCCACAGTGACTCAGGCTTCGTTAGAGAGAGAAATTTCTCGCTCTGTACAGCCAGGAAGCTGCTCATTTCCAGAGCTGGAAGCAAACTCAGCCTTGCGCCAGGCAACCAGACCACAGGGAGGAGAGAGGAGAGCCCCTTCCCCAAATCCACAGGAAGGAGAGAGGAGAGCAGTTCACCGAACTCGCAGGGAGGAGAGCGCCTTCCGGCGGGCCCGCCAGGCACACGGCTGCTGGGCAGAGGGCACGCAGCACGGTCCCCAGAACCAGTGACCGTCATTTTACACAGGGAGAGGGAAGTAATGTTTCGGTTGGGGAGAGGGAAGGCCGGACGCTGGGCACCAGGCGCTACACAGATGGAGGAATCGGAGAGTCAGACCCAGCATTGCCAGGACCCCCCAGGCCCCTCACACATGCTCACGTCCTGCTGCTCTCAGACCTAAAAGTGTTCCAAACACTGTGTGTGTGTGTGTGTAAATGATCTAAATGCTATGCATGTGTGTGCGTGCGCGTGTGGATAATCCAAATACTGTGTGTGTATGTGTGAATAACCCAAACGCTATGCGAATGTGTGTATATGTGTGTGAATAATCCAATACTGTGCATGTGTGTGTGAATAATCCAAATGCTGTGTGCATGTGCATGTATGTGTGTGAATAACCCAAATGCTGTGCATGTGTGTGTGAATAACCCAAATGCTGTGCATATGTGTGTGTGTGTGCGTGTATGTGTGTGAATAACCCAAATGCTGTGCACGTGCGTGTGCATGTCATGCACACGCGGGGGTGGGCACTTCCTGTGCAGTGAGGGTCGGTCTGCTGTGCCCCAGGGGTGGGTCCTTCTCCCCTCCCCAGGGGCTGGGCGCTTTCCCTCTGCTCGCTGAGGAGGCAGCTGTCCAAGGCGCCTGAGCATTTCTTCCTGACATACAGACCAAAGGCCAGGACCCGAGGGGCAGAGGTCACCGGCTGAGGTGCACTCTTGAACACACTCTGTGTCCTGGCGCCAGAGGGTAGACCCAGACCCTGGTCACACACACACACACACACACACACACACACACACACACTCTCTCTCTCTCTCTCTCTCTCTCACACACTCACACATGCACCGATGCTCATAAACTCACACACATGTACCCATACTCACATGCATACAAACACACATACACACAAACACACACAGGCACACATACTCCACATATTCTCCACATATTTTCACACACACTCTCACAAACACACATGAATACACACATGCACACATACTCACACACATTCACGTGCACAATACACACACACACAGGATCTGTGCAGTGAGGAGCCTGCAAAGTCCCTGCCAGCAGATGTGACCACACAGGCTGCCTGAGGTCGGGACACATCTGCTGTGTGTATGTGAGAATGTGTGAGAGCAAATGTGTATGTATGTATATGAGTATGGGTACATGTGTGTGAGTTTGTGAGCGTATGTGCATGTGTGAGTGTATGTGAGAGTGTATGTGTGTACATGTGTGTATGCATGTGTCTGCTGTGTGTGAGAATATGTGTTTTTGTGTGTCTACTGTGTGTGAGAGTAAGTGTGAGTATGTATGTGTGTCTGCTGTGTTTATGTGAGAGTGTGTGAGAGTATGTGTATGTTGTGTGTATGTATGAGGAGGTGTGTGTGAGAATATGTGTGCTTGTGTAAGTGTCTGCTGCGTGTGAGAGTATGTGTGAGTATGTGTGTGTATGTGAGAGAATGTTTTGTTATGTGTATGTGTGTATGTTTGTGTATGTGAATGCATGTCTATTGTGTGTATGAATGTATGTGTGTATGTCTATTGTGTGTATGTGTGTGTATGTATGCATGTGAGCGTGTGTATATCTATTGTGTGTATGTGTGTATGTATGTGACGTGTGTATGTCTGTTGTGTGTGTGTGTACATTTGTGTGCATAAGGCACAAGCCGGCCTGGCTGTTTCTAGCTCCCACACTGCCCCCTCTGTGCCAAGCCCTCTGGGTGACTGACGGAGGCGTGTGAGCAGCTGCTGCCGTGGTTCTGGGCCACACCTGCCAGTCCTGGTGCTGCTCAGATCCAAGCCGCCCGGAGGCCAAGAGCAGCCCTTCCCCGCAGGACATTCACCCTCGCAAGGGTCCTCCTGCCCCCAATGCCAGTCTGTGCCCCACGCACCTGAAGTTCCCTGGGCTGTGCACGTCTGTCTTGATGGAGTTGACGGCGTACTCTGGCCGGTAGGTCCCGCACCACACCTGCAGACACGGGCAGGGTCGGCTTAGCTTCCCACACCTACCAGCACTTTCCGGAACCTTCTGCCCAAGTCATAGGGCAGAAGAGTGGGGCGGAAGGAAGGGCCGGGGAGCTCCGGCCTCTCCACACCGAGTGGGGCCAACTCACTGGGCTGAGGTACCCCCCCCCCCAGGCGACCCCCGGACAGAGCCCACACCTGGGCGAAGTTCAGGAAGAAAAGCTGGTTGTGGTTAAGGTCCAGCCCGGGGAGCAGCTTCTCAGCACCGTGCTTCCGGATGTAGCTCTGATAGGCCTGGTCAGCGAGGACAGGGCATAGTCAGCTACCTGGGAAGGCCTGGGCCCTCCCTGCCGCGATACACTGAGACCCGGGCACCCACAGCAGCTCTCCCCACTGGCCCTGGGACTGTCTGGCCCAGCTGCAGCTGCTGGACCCCCGGATCCCAGAGTCTCCCGTCCGGCCTTGTGCTCCAGAACATGAAGCCCAAGTCCCAGAAGGCCAGTGCCCCAGAAGGCCAGCGCTCCAGAAGGCCAGCACCCCCACAAGGCCAGTGTCCCAGAAGGCCAGCATCCCAGAAGGCCAGTGCCCAAGAAGGCCAGTGTCCCAGAAGGCCAGCGCCCCAGGAAGCCTCAAGGGCGAGCCTGACGTGGAATGGCCTGTCCACTCGGGTCTGTGGTGGACACAGCTTCTTCTCTTGATTTCCAGAGCCCATGTCACCCAGTGCCCGAGTCACCCAGGGCCAGTGTCACCCAGAGCCAATGTCACCTAGGGCCCATGTCACCCTGGGCCCACGTCACCCAGGGTCAACGTTACCCAGGGCCAGTGTCACCCAGGGCCCTGGCTCTGGAGAGGCCCCACGGCATTGCCACTCTTCCACAGCGCACTGACCACTTTATGTGACTTCAGCAAGAGATTTCCTTCAGTGGTGCCTGGACAGGGCCAGGGTCATGCCCGGGGACAGTCTGACACTCCCTGTGGCCAGGTGGGCAGAGCCCCTCCCTCACTCACCCTGTAGGCCTGGCCGAGGCCTCCGTTGTCAGCTATGTTCTCTCCCAGAGTGTTGATGCCATTGAGCTGGTGAGCAAGAGGAAGAGGAAGTCACGGGACTGTGGGTGGGGGTGGGGGGGAGGGGAACAGCAGCTGCTGGGAGGCAGGAGACCACCTTGGGCTGGCCTGTGGGCAGTCCTGGGCACAGAGAGACGCTTGGGGGCTGCACTCTGGGGGAGAGTCCAGGTGCCCGGAATGAGTGAGCGCGATGGGGACACAGGCGGGCCACCCTGCACGTACGAACTGCCCGCCGGCCAGGTCCCAGGAGAAGTTGCCGTACTGCTGCACCATGCACTGCGACAGCTCCTTGAAGCTCTTGGCCGACTGCGGGCTCCACCAGTCCTGCAGGTCCCCGTCCTTGTTGAAGTTCCGGCCTGGAGTGCATGGGCGCCGGTCAGCATGGGGTGGAAGCCACGTGGGGCTCCCGGGGACAGGGCTGGGAGGAGGCACTTGTGTCCCCCGGGGGACACACTGGCAGCGACTCCACTGGCCACCCGCCCTTCTGCACATACACAGACCCTGAACCACCCACCACGTCCCCTCTGGGAGCCTGTGTGCCTCCGGCTGGCTGAGGCCTCGTCCACAGCCTCTGCAGCCCAGCCCCACCCAGGGACACGCCTGCCAAGTGCCCGTGTGCGTCTGTGTCTGTGCATCTGTGTCTGCGTTTGCTCTGTGTGTGCATGTTTTCTGTGTGTCTGCATGTTTGTTGTGTGTGCGTTTGCATCTGTTGTGTGTCTGTGCATGTTTGTTGCATGTCTGTGTGTTTGCTGTGTCTGCATCTTTGCTGTATGTCTGTGTGTGTGTTGGCTCTGTGTGTTTGTTGTGTCTGTTTGTCTGCATTTGCTGTGTGTGTGTCTGCATCTGCTGCATGTCTGTGTGTGTTTTCTGTGTGTCTGTGTGTCTGCATGTCTGTGCGTGTTTACTGCGTGTCTGTGCGTCTGTTTGCTGGTGTTGCTCTCTGAGCCCAGAGCACACAGGCTCCCCGTGTTCCTGCCCTGCGGCCCCTCCCTCCCTGCCTTCCTGACTGGACGTGAGATCCCTCTGCCCTGGTGGGCCCGGGCGGGTTCCACAGACTTGGTGTTCCTGATCCCAGCCCCATCTCTACCACCCTTTGAGCTACACATGTGGCCTGCTGGGGTGTTCAGAGTGACCCTTCCCTGGCCTGGTGTGACTGGCCGCCTCCCTGGGAGCAGTCAGCAGGGGCCCCACCTCTGTTTCCTTCTGCAAACTCGCTGTGGATCCACCCCAAATGCTCCTGTCATTCCCTAACTCTCCACCGCAGTGCTCACTTGGCCCCCAGGGGCCACTGCCACCCGCCCTGCACTGGGGCCCATGACCCTGGGGCCCTGGCAACCACTCTTGGCATGTCCCAAGGGCACCTCCTGGCCTGGGCTGCGCTCACCGTTGTCGTCAAAGCCGTGGGTGATCTCGTGCCCAATGACCATGCCGATGCCTCCGTAGTTGAGAGACTTGGGCTGCTGGGCACTGAAGAAGGGGGGCTGCAGGATGCCAGCGGGGAAGACTGCGGGGATGGGGGGATGCAGTCAGGCCCCCGCCAGCCGCAGCGTCCTGGCCACTGCCCACCCGGGGCCGGCCCCGTTTTCCTCCCTGCCTCCTGCATTGGTTGGCTCCCCCCTCCTCCCTCGCCTCAGGAAGTCTGAGTTTCCTGTCCAGACCGTCCACTCTCTCTCCCCGCCTGTGATCGCATGTCCCAGGATCCAGCCGCCCCTCTGCACCCCTTTCACACCCTGACTCTGGCTCTGGCTCGTCCGCTGAGTCCCTGACCCACCCCGCTCTGTGTTTGGAGGTGACCACGCGGGACAGTGCTCTGGGCTTCCTGCTGGCTCTGCCCAGAGCTCATTTCTGGAGGTGCCAGGGCTGGGCTGGGTCAGCGCATGTGAGGCCACTGCCCTGTTGTCCAGCTCACCCCGCTCCTTTGTGAAGGTGGAGCATGTGAGGGAGCAAGTTCCCAACAGGGTCCTGGGCAGCCTGACAGCCCCAGCCAGTGTCCGTCTCCCTCCGGGCATCCCGGGTCTGGTCCCCGTGGGTTGGGTCTCCTGCCTACAGCCCTGCTGGGTCTCACCTATTGCTGCAGCCAACGCCCCCCACCCCTGCCGCCCCTCCCACCCCTGCTTCCTCCCTCGTTCCCTTCTCACTCCCACTCTCGGGCCATCTCTCCTCGGCCCCTCACATTCTCTGTCCTGTTATTCTAGAGACCACGGGTAAGTGACCCGGTATCTGGCCCCCTCCCGGACCCTCCTCTTAGACCTAGACAACGGTCTTGCATCCATGCTGCACGCCAAGCCTTGGGTGGGGGAGGGCCCTGGCCGCAGGCCCAGAGGAGTGTGAGCTCTTGCCCCTGAGTGGGCCGGGGGCTCTGGGAAGGAACATCAGACACTCACAGAGTGACAGGGGACCAGGCCTTGGGCACTCGCCAGGCCTTGGGGACGGTCTCCCCCCAGCTCCCCGGGGCGAACAGCGCAGACTCGGGGCTCTGCGGGCAGCCACGCCTCACGTGTGCCCCTGCGCCCTCAGCAGCGCCGAGAGTTATTTTTAGCTCCGAGTGTGAGAGATGTGCAGTGCTGGAGCTCATCCCCCACGCCAGGAGTTTTCCTGTGAACCCGCCCATTATATAAACGCTCTTATGAAACGCGCGGTCTACACATCAGCCAGGAAGGTCCCTCTGCTCTGATGATGCCCGGCCCCTGCGGGCAGCTGATAAGATTTTTATGGCTCTTATTAAGCATTTTTCAAGCTCAGCGCTGCAAGTGACAGTTTCTCCCCTGTCAGCTGGATTTCTGCTGTGAGGATTTCCCCCGCTGACTTACTGCTGTTACCACAGGACTTCACATCACTGAGACCAACCAGCTGTCGAGTTGCACATTGTTCATGTCCAACACTGTCAACAGGTTAATTACCAACAGAGGCACTGGTCTGCGTGGTGAGGGCGCTTCTCCTCGTCCCTCCTAGATTCCCCTCCCACTACTGCTTCAGGCTTTCGGGGCTGAAGCAAATTCATTTCAGCATCTTTGAGTTAAGCCCAAGCTTGCAAAACAAGGTGCGGATTTATCTTTTGGAGGGAGAAACGCAAACAAACAGACACAGAATTTGTGGAATTCCGTGACAAGTGAATTACGTGGCTCGAGTCTCAATACATCACGGCTTATGGGGACAGCCTGTCTGCAGCCAAGGACCCCCAGAGAGAAAGGCACAGCCGTGAAGACCTGGGGGGTCTGGAGGAACACTCTGAGAAGATGCACGAGCCGACCTTCAGCCTGGGCTCGCTTAGGGAGCCTTTCCACGCATTGCCAAGCGCGGACTCGCACCTGGTTTATTAGGGGACACGCCTGGTTTATGATCGGCAGGTCCAGAACAAGTCTTTCCTGGTGATCTCTGTGACTCATTTTCACCTCACGCCCATACAGGGGACGGATGGTATTGACTCTCAAGTACAGAGGAAACAGAACTTCTTGGCTCTTGTGGACTCAGGGCAAGGCGGGAAAGGCTTGAGAACTGGGATTTTACAGTTTACAGTGTCTTAAAATCAGGAGTGGCAAAGGCTTGCTGGGATTCCTGCACTGGGGGGGTTGGGATCAGGGCAGACGTTGAGTAGGTGGGGGCAGTGTTGGGGGCCCTACCCTCTGAACTCTTGGGCACACTTAGAAACGCAGAGCGGAGGCCGAGACCTGCCTGGGGGACCACGGCACCTCAGGGGGCTTTTCGGTAGCTGCTGGGTGCAAACCCACCAGATCCCTCAGGAAGATTATTCCTGTGGGGGCACACCCGGTGGTGCCCAGCTCTCACTCCTGGCTCTGCCCTCAGGGATCACTCCTGCAGGGCTCCGGGGGCCTCATGTGGCGTGGGGGTTCGAACCTGCACCAGCTGCATGTAGGCCGAGTGCTCTGACTGCGTGCTAGCTCTGGTCCCAAACAGGGTTCTTACGAGACTCGGTCCTAAGAGGGTTCTTGTGACGGTGAGAGCTGGTCGTCACAGCCAGGAAGGGAGGGGAGACTTATCTCCCTTTCGCCAGTTATTCATCAGACTAATATCACTCAGGCATTCGCTTCTGTGCCCAGTTCTCTAGCGCTATTGATGACAGACAGCTGAGCTTTCAGAGCCAAAATTGGTTAAGACATTCTGGGTGACCGGCATCACTGACTCTTCCGCATCCAGAGCCCCCAGAAACATCTGAAAGAAGATAGGGACAGAGAGGCCCAGCAGAGCTGCCCCGAGGAAGCCTGGTAAGCTGATTCTTAGAACTTCAATCCCGTGAGGAAGCTGATGCGTCCCAAGCAGCTGAGACCCCATGGGGAGAGAGAAGGGGCTTCAAAAGTGGGTCTAGGGGGCTGGAGCAATAGCACAGCAGGGAGGGCATTTGCCTTGCATGTGACGACCCAAGTTCAATCCCTGCCATCCCATGTGAGCACCGCCAGGGGTGATTGCTGAGTGCAGAGCCAGGAGGAACCCTGAGCATCACTGGGTGTGACCTCAAAAGCCTCTCCCCCAAAAAGGATCTAGCATGAAGTTTAATTACAGCCTTACCTATCTGGTTCCTGCCCGAGGAGTAGAAGGCGTTCACCACTGCGGCCCCACTGATCCACCTGGAGGGGACACAGGGTTTGTTACCCGTTACGTGAGTCATCGGACTCATCGCCCTCCTGCTCATGAGCCGAGCATCATGGTGATTCTAGAGGAACCAGAAATTCACACGGACACTCCAGCCCCCACATCTGAGTGGGCCCCGGGGGAGCTGGTTCACGGGCAGCGTGCCCACTTCTGGCTGCCATACTGCAGTCCAGAGCCAGCCAGGGTATCCACTGGCAACCTGGGGACCAGGGGACGCTGACATCAGACATGGTGCCCGCCCGTTGCCGGGGCATCGCAGGGCAGCCACGAGATCCTGGATCCAAGTCCAGCGAAAGCACCGTGACTTCTCCCAGCCTAGTGGGCTTCTTGAGGACGTGGCCATGTAAAATGGCATTGTCAAAAAGTGACCTGCAGCTGGGCGAGCCGGGACAGAAGCTTCAAAACTGACAAAACCCTGCAGGGCCCAGAGGGTGTGTCCACCCATGTGAGCTGCAGCCCAGCCCCTCAGGCCCTTGTCACAGACCAGGCACCAGCTGTGCCCCTCCGCCCACTCTCAGCACTCACACGGGGCACTCACAGTCGTCCATTAGGGACACACACAGCCATCCACATGAGACACTCACAGCTGTCCACATGGACACTCACAGCTGTCCACACAGGACACGCACAGTCATCCACACAGGGTATGCATAGCCGTCCACATGGGGCACTCACAGCCGTCCACATGGGTATGCACAGCTGTCCACACAGGACATACACAACCGCCCAAACAGGGCACGCACAGCTGTCCACACGGGGCATGCACAGTCATCCACATGGGACATGTATAGCTGTCCACACAGAGCACTCACAGCTGTCCACACGGGCACGTACAGCTGTCCACACAGGGCACGCACAGCCATCCACACGGGACTCGCACAGCCATCCACATGGGACATGCACAGTCATCCACACGGGGTATGCACAGCCGTCTACACAGGGCATGCACAGATGTCCACATGGGACACGTACGGCCATCCACATGGGACACGCACAGCTGTCCATACAGGGCATGCACAGCCCTCCTCACAGGACACGAACAGCCGTCCACACGGCACATGTACAGCTGTGCACACGAAGCATTTACACGGGGCATGTACAACCATTCACACAGGACACACACAGTCGTCCACACTGGGCATGCACAGCCGTCCACATGGAGCACGCACAGCCATCCACATGGGGTATGCACAGCCATCCATGTGCATGTGGGCACTGTCGGGACTCAGAGTCTGTGGTGGCCCCTCGGTGCCCAAGTGTGGGGCAGGACGCTCGGTGGGTGTCTCTGGGCCCTGATCCCAGCTGCCTTGATCCCTTGGCCGCTGTTCTCCACTCGTCCCCCATGGCTACCCTGACCTCCGAGCCATGCCCTCCCCGTGCCCCAGGCTGTCTCTGACCCATCGCTGACCCTGGCCCACAGCAGTACGTACTCGTTCTTGTCCACGCTTTCCCGCAGCTTCTTCAGCTGTTTGCTTTGACCGAACTTCAGGTTTTGGATGATGTTCTCGAAGTACTCATCCTCCCTGTAGTTCAGCTGCGTCGGGAGGAGAGGAGACTGCTGGGCCAGGGTCTGCAATGTGCCCTGGTCTCCCCACACCCCTGCACACAACTGCCCCAGCTCCGCTCACCGGGGGCCACGTCAACCCTCGGCCCCCAGCTCAGGAGAGTGGAACCAGGCCCCCCACAGGGTGTGGCACACAGGGGGGTGACATCCAGTCTAGGGCAGCTCAGGACGAGTGCGAGGGGCCTGAGACGTGCCAGTGTGCAAGAGTGGATCTGTGCAAATTAGTATGTGTGTGAGAGTGAACCTGAGTGAGCGTGAGTCTGTGTGAACACCGTGTGTGGTGGACAAGAGCCCAAGAACCCAGCACGCTTCCCAGCTGGGCTCAGGGCTGGAGGCCGCAGGTGAGGGGGTAGCGCGCACGTGGAAGCCCGTGCAGCGACTCACCTCCAGGTACTCTTTGTTGAGCTTGTCGTTGTTGGAGATGATCTCATCAGGGTAGCCGATCCTTTCTACGATGGCCAAGGCCTACGAGAGGGGACACTGGCTGGGAGTGTCCGCGGTGCCGAGCCCTAGGGCACACATGCCACGGGCAGGCACACACACTCACACACACATACAGGCATATACTCTCATACACAGCCTCACACGCACACACACACAGTCACATACACATACGAACACACAGTTATTCTCATACACAGCCTCACACACACACACACACACACTCACACATACTCACATATGTACCCACACACTCATATACACTCCCACAATTCACACACTCACACATATTTACATGCACACTCACAGTCCCACATGTTGATGTTCATGCACACTCGCAGTTCACTCTCACACACATGCACACACATACACACATTCACACATATCCACACACATATTCACACGCACACTCACACATACACACACATTTGCTCACACTCACACTCTTGCACATCTCCATACACAGTCCCACATATGTTCTCACCCTCGCACACACTTGCACAGACGCACCCTCTGTCACACGCACACTTTCATTCCACATCCTGCAGGGGTGACAATCTCGAGCTTTACATCCCCTCGGCTCCAAGGAGCAGAGCTGTGTTCTGAGGGTGGAGCTGCGCACGCAAGGGGCCATGCCAGGCCCTGAGCGGGGGTCGGACAGACGAGGGGGCCACGCTTGGCCCCTCCTGGTAAGCCGGCTGTCCTTCATCGCTCACCCTGATGTGGCCATCCCCGGCACACTCCCGCACCTACTTGCTCCGTCCCACCGTCCCAGCACAGGCGAGCACTGCTCAGCGAGCATCTGCGCTGGCCGGGCCAGCAGCTCGGTGGATTCTCACTCTCTTCAGAGGACGGTGCCGAGGGCCCAGACGGGACCGTGACAACGTGGAGGGGCTGGAATGCTGCCAACCTAGCCACACGCTCACCGCGGGTCACGGCGTCTCAAGTCAAAGCCCAGAGCCAGCTCGTCTGTGGCCAGCCTGCAGGTGGCCTGGCCCTCAGCCTATTCGAGACCCGTGTCCTGTCGGCTCGGACAGGAAGCTCACACCTGTTTCCTCCTTAGGTCAGGAAAGAAACAGGCCAAGGGGTGCTCTAGGGAACCTGCAGCTGAGAGCAACTGTTTCGAGCTGGGCGCCTCTTTCACAGCGTCCACGGAAGGGGAGGAGCCCGGGCCTAGGACCACCGGCCCCACTATCTGCTCATCAAGTCCGGCCCCCTTGTTTTCTGGAGTTTTCCTCCCCATATAATTAAGGGGAATCAGAATCTTTCTGTTTCTCTTTCTTTGTGTCCCCCGCTGTGATGCTGGGGGCTGACCTTGGGGCCGCACACCGTGTGAGCCCCGAAACACCTCTCAAAGCCTGGGGAGAGGGAGGAGAGTCGGGGCTGGTGCTCTTGGCGGGAGAGGGGAGAGGCGGCTGGGTAGGGGAGAGATGACGCCAACCGTGCCCAGTATGGAGTGCCCGAGAGCCGCCCCCTCGGCTGATGCCCACCTTCTCCTCTGCCTTCTTCTTGGTCTCCGCGTCCATCCAGGTGAGGTCGTCAAGGGTTTGGATGAAAACTTCCCGGATCTGTGCGATCAGGTCCTCGACCTCGGGTGGGAGAGCAAAGACAGACTCAGGTGCTGCCAGGGCTCTGCAGATGTGCCCCAGCCACCGGACGAGCTGGGGGCCAGGCCCGGACGCCGCATCTCCCCGGCCACTCACTCCCCAGCAGTGATGGGGACACCAGCCTCCACAAAGACACTGGACACAGCCCCGGAGGCCGAGGCTCCTCGAGCATGAAGCAGGCAGGGGAGGGGCAGTGCCAAGGGCGTCTCCAGGGCTGCCCAGCCTCCAAGGGCTGGACCTCCCCCGCTCGGGCTCCAACAGGGTTTTCTTTGGATGCTCGCAGACAGCAATCGGGAGGGTCCGGGACCCGCTCTCAGCCAGGGGGCCTCAACTGGGGGCCCAGGGACCCCGGGCACGGGTGAGCCTCACCCCGTGCCGGCGTCGCTGTCTGCCCCCGTCCCGGCCCCTAGGAGGGCACGATTTGCGAGGAGTGGCCAGCCGGGCTCAGCAGAGGCAGGACCCAGGGGCCGGGAGGGGACAGGCCTGGCGGGCCTTGGCGCGGGTGCGGGGACGTTACCACGTGTTTACTCTCCCCAGCAAACGCCGCCTCCACGTACAGCCGCCCCACCGCAGACTCCATGTTCCCATTGACGTAGTTGGCACAGCGCCGCCAGGCTGCCGTCTCAGAGGTGGTGCCGTACAGTGCCTGGCGGGGTGGAGGGAGGGGAAGCAGTGCTGTAGGCCCGGACGGCAGGGCCTGCTCTGCCAACCACCAGCACCGTGGCCTCCCAAGAGCCCAGCCCCCACCCGGGGAACCTGCCACATCGGGGCAGCATCACCCACCTTGACATGATGACCCCTCATTGGCCGACCCCTAAGCCCTCATTGGACCTGAAACCTGACCTTTCATTGGGCCTGAAACCTAACCCCTCATTGGCCTGACACGCCCCCATGACCTGTGCTTTCCTGACTGTGGGACAGACGTTCCCACCAGAGACTTTCCCAGGACACTGGTTGGCCCCCGGCTAGGATTTCTCCTTCCTCCTGCTGGGAGGAAACGAGGAGGCAGCACCAGGGATATAAGGGGCTCACACAGGCCTGGGCGGTCTCCGGCTCGTCCACACCAGTGCACCCCACTGGCCTGCCTGTCTGCTCAGCAATGGGGCATCAGGAAGCCGAGTCCACTCAGGTCAGCCCAGGTAAGTGGTCGGGTCACTCGCAACACAGCCAGAAACCAAGCTCTTCTCCTCCCTGAGCCCTGGGTCACAGGGCCGTGGCTGACCCCACGGCTGACCATCCTGGTAGACTGCCATGACTGACCACTGCTGCTGACCACCCTGGCTGATCACCATGGCTGACCACTATGACTGACCACCCTGGCTGATCACCATGGCTGACCACCATGACTGACCATCTTGGCAGACCACCACGGCTGACCACCATGGTGACCACAGAAGAACCCCCCCAGCAAAACCATAGCAGCCACTGTGGGAGGTGCCACTGTACCCAGCACAGGCCTGGGACTGCTGTAGTGGCCAGGGCCCAGCAGAAGCTGTGGCCTTGCCTCCGGGCAGTGTCCCCTCACCTTGCGGAAAGCATTGCGGGACTCCGTGTAGTTCCGGCTAAGGCTGTTGACCATGTCCATGATGAAGTGCCAGGCCATCAGGTTCTGCACATCTCTGTCCAAGACACGTCAGCAGAGCAGAGGTGAGGTTCAGGTGTGGAGGGTACGGTCAGCATCAGCCCTGAGCCAGGCTTCTGGGAAACCCACCTTTTGGTATAGTTGATAAGAATGTCCTCGAGTTTGGTTAAATACTCTGGAGCATAAACAATCACATTCTCTTCATCTGGAACACTGATATTCACGGTCTTCATGATCTCGTTGATAAAACTGGACCAGTTGAATGGCTGAAAAGGAGAAGCACAAATCAGTCATTGGGATGGAGTTCCCTGCCCAGGGATGGGCACAGGGGTATGGAGGCTGGGGGCTGGGGGCAGGGGGCCAGGGGCTGGGTATCTGGTGGGCATCCCCTTCTGCCCAGCAACCGGTCACTGGCATTTGCTGAAGGTCACCCTCCATGGTCCCCAGCCGTGTTTGAACAGAGCTCAATATTCAGTAATCAAGCTAATCAATAACAGAATGACTAAGTCGATAACAGAATGACTAAGTCGATCAAAGCGCAAAGCTGACCACTGAAGGTCAAAGCCAGCGTCTGAGATCAGGGAGGCAAGGCCAGAAACTGGGTCACTGGCATGTTCTTGTCTGAGCCATAATAATGATGGAGAAGGAATCATGGTGGGCGCGTGGGGCCGAGGTCCGGGCTGTGCGGCTGTGGCTGCCTGGGTGGTGCCTCGAGGTGGGGGCGTCCGTCCCTCACCCCTGGGCGGCGGGGCGTGGCCGTGGCACCCTGGCTCAGAGCGTGAGGACGCCGGGAAGTGGCGAATCTGAGCATGGGCAGCGGGCACCAGGGGACCTCCTTTGTTTCCTTGTTCTGCATCTGGATCTCCAAGCAACGCTCATGGGCCCCGGGGCCACTCCAGTTACACCTGCTGCACCGGGCTGGACCCACCATGCAGGACTGCTTGGCCCACCGGGGTCGTGCCTGCTGGAACCTGGGGGCTTTGGGGTGCTGGAGATCAAAGCTGACTGTGCATGCAAGGTGTCCGCCCAGGTCCCTGAGTCATTTCCCCGTCCCCTCATTGAACTCAGTCCTGACCCCACTAAGGAGTTTCAGGAGCAAAGCCCTTTCCAACATGCTGTGCTAAGAACACCCCACCTAGATGGCTACAGCAGGGCAGTAGCCACTGTGGGATGGACCGTGGATGGGCCGTGGATGAGGCTGTGGATGGGCTGTTGGCAGGCTGTGGGCTGGGCAGAGGGACGGGCCATGGGCACTTTCCCAGACTGCAGCATTGTCTGCCTGTGTGAATGAACCGATGCACCAGATTAGAGTGGAGCTCCCATGACTTGCTGCAGTCTAGACAGTGAGTCGCAGGAAAGGAAAAGAGGCCAGCGCCGACCACAAAGGGGACCTAGAGGCTTCTGGTTCTGACGCCCTCTTCCCTGGATGGCGGGATATGGCCAGAGATGAGAGAGGAGGGAGGAGAACGGGCGGGAAGACCACAAGCCCAGAGGGGCCCACGGTGCTCTCCTTCCTGCACACCCTGTGGTGTGGCCTGGACCCCTGGACCCTGCTTCCAACCCGTCTGTGGTCCTCTGTGCCGTCACCCAGAGCTCTCCGGAGAAGCTGCCTCTCCTGTGTTTCCCAGTGAAGTTCACTCCAAAAAAGGATTTAAAATATTTTTTCCTTCAGTCTCTGAAGGATACCAAACAGTCGGTGCCATCTATATTACTTTGGAGGTCGAACTTATCTCAAAAAATAAACCACTGGATCTTAATAAACCAGAGTTCAGGACTACACACTAGGTAGTGACAGTGAGTCTACACAGCTGGTCACTCACCTGATTGTCCACTTTCAGGGAGAAGTTAACTTTGACCTGGGTTAGTGTCATCTTGTTATAGAGGAGCATTGGATCATTCCGGTCTTCTGCCTTGGTGGTGGCCTGTGGGTTTGATTTTTGATCGTTATTTCAGAGCTGGAAGTCTCCAGAACGCCCCCAGTGCAGAGAGGAAATGGGCCTGGAAACGGCACCGCAGGGCTGCAGGGTGCCTGGATGTGTGATCAGCTGGGTCAGTGCAAAGATTAGCTGAGCTGGTCTGCTCTCGCCTGATGGGCAGGGCTGTGGGGTCCAGGGGCCTTCCAGCCTCTCTGAGCGGGGCCACCACAGAGGCTGCACCTGGGCCTGTACCACTGAGGCCGCTCGCCTTTGTCTGGCACTGTCTGTCACAGCCGAAAACTCTCATCATCTGCCCTCTCTTGAATATCCTGGCCCGACTCAGTGCCGCAGCCCCGGGCCTGTCCCCCACTTGGCCCTCCCGGGCAGCAACTGTCCCCACTGCCCTGAGAGTTCCCACCGCAGACACGTCGAGGCAGGAGACGGGCGAGCACAGAGCAGCCGAGCGCCAACCATGGATAAGGACCCTGGGGGCCACACGGCGGGGAAGATGCACATGAGTGACCCTGCGGGGAGGCTGAGCAGGGGACCCCAAACCTCACGCTGACCCCCACGAGCTGCTCTGAGCGGGTGTTTGGCTTCCAGCAGCCCCAGGAAACCAACACTGGCCCTGGGACCCTGACCTGAGGGCATGGCCACACACATGGCCGAGGCAGGAGGCTGGTCTGCCAAGCCAGGGAAAAGGAGGCCTCAGCTTCTGCTCTGAACAAGGTGCCATCCACCCGGGCTGGCTGCATAGACATGGGCCCGAGTGCTGTGTAGACAGGGTTCATGGACCCGGGTACTGTGTAGATGGAGTTCATGGACCTGGGTGACGTATAGAGAGGGTTCTGGCCCGGGTGCTGTGTAGACAGGGTTCATGGACCTCGGGTGCTGTATAGATGGGGTTCATGAACCCTGGGTGCGGTTAGACAGGGTTCATGGACCCCAGGTGCTATATAGACGGGGTTCATGGATCCCGGGTGCTGTATAGACAGGGTTCATGGACCCCGGGTGTGGTGTAGATGAGGTTCATGGACCCCAGGTGTGGTGTAGATGAGGTTCATGGAGCCCGGGTTCTGTGAAGACACCACAGACAGGAGCTGCAGAGCTGAGCTCGTGGGGGTTGGGTGAGTATGTGCCCACCCAGACTCCCAGCACCCGAGGCCCAGGGAATGTGGAGAAACCTCCCCGCTGGCCCCGTCCCCTGGGCACAGCAGACTGCCCGGCTCACCGTCTCCCTGCAGGGACCGAGCTGGCCTCCCCGTGGTGGGGAAATGACGCTGGACGGTGCACTGAGAGTGGCCAACGTGGCCAGTGGTGTGCAGCAGGTGTGAGTGGACCCCGCTGCCGGCTCAGACTAGCTGAGTCGGAGCCTCTTTCATATTCGCCACCTCTGTCGCCTCCGGAGGGGAGCGGCCAGCTGTTTGCTCAGCTTAATTAAGGGTTTCAAAGTTCCTCCCGACAGGCGGCACCCGCAGAGGCCACAGACTGACCCGCAAACACGCAACAGGGAGGCAGGGAAGGTGGGAGGCACGGCCCGGGGCCAGGGAGCTCACGTTGGCAATCGCCGTCTCCAGCTGCATCACTGTCTCCACTTCATTCCTGATCTGTGCCTCGTCGACCGCCACTTTTCTTTCCTTCCGGATTAGCATGGCCACAGAAACCATGAACTCCTTGTATGCCTTGCACGCCTGAGGGAGAAGCGGGCAGTGGAAAAACTGGCAACCTTTGTCGAAACAGCAGCACACGTTGATGCTTAATGAACGGACTTAATTAACGGTCTTAATTTTCCCTTATCATTCATGTTTGCCAACCCATGAAGCACAAATGAAAAGCAAATCCTTTCCGGACCCAGAGAGAAATGTCCCGCACAGATCCCTAGAACTCTCGGAGTCTCTGGGGGCAACAGAGAAGTGAAGGGTGACGGCAAAGCACCGGGGGCTGGTCGTTACTGGCTTCTGGGGACTTTAGCCAAGCTGCTTCGTGCTGCCTTTGTAAGAACAGTCAGTTCACAATCACCAGCCATTTTTACTGTCATAATACCTTTCAGGACAAAATGCCCTTTAACTGAGACTTTTTTTTCTGCTCGTATATGTCAACCATTTATGAGACCAGGACCCTAAGATCATACAATACTACCAGGATTCTTTATGTCTGTCCCCCTAGACAAGCAGTATTCTGCGTTTACGAGGCCACATTTTCCTGAGTTCCTCCAACGTAAACTTGTGGGTTTTCATCAGTTCTGCAGCTGCTCCCTAAGACGGGGCGATTTTACCTCCGTCCAGATTGGCTCCTTCGAGGAGCTCGGCCTCTCCCTCCGAGACGCAGGCTGTGAGCCCGTCCGGCTGCCCTTCCTTTAGGACCCCCACCCCCAATGCCCCATTTGAGCCCAGGGGAGGGTTCGGCCAGGACATCTCAGCCCTGCCAGGCACCAAGGGTAAGCGGTGACCCTATTGCAGTGAGCCGAGAGCACGCAGGCCCAGCGCCCCTGCTGCCCACTGCCCGGGGAAAGCCCACTGCAGGCGGGGGAGGCCCTGCTCGGCTGCACACGGGGACCCGCCCAAGGAAGGTAAGGGAACACCCAGGGGCTTCTGTCCCCGCCAGGCCCAGAGCCCGAGGGTGCACAGGCTGGCAGAAACCTAGCGAACATCAGGGCTGTGAAGAGGGTCACCCCAGCAGGGACGGAAGCAGCAGGAACCAGGACAGACAATCGGGAGGTCTGGGTCCCCCCTCTGGGCCTTTACTCGGGCAAAGGGACAAGCCCAGGCTAGACCCTGTGTGCGGGCACCACCCTACCCCTCCCGGCACTAAGCCTGTTCTCTGCTAGTCCCCGGGCAGCAGAGACACAGGGGAAGTGTCCATGGCCATCCCTGCCAGCTCCCCTTTGCCCATGTCTGGTATTCAGAATTCTCACTCCATGAGGAAATCGCAGAGACACTGGGCACTGCCTTACTGGCCCACAAGTCCTGCCTGTCTGCAGGAGGGGGTCTCCACGGACCACCGAGGAAACAGTGATCTGAAGTTTCCAGCATCACTCTGTGAGTTGGGGGTTTGGGGTTTTGCATTTCTGTGAGCAGGTGAGAGAGAAAGAGGCGGGCAGTGGGCTTGCTGGCCGCGAGCTGGCTCTGCGTCGAGCACACACGGGCCAGGATCAAGGCGGGGATTCGCGCAGCCACAGGACCTCAGCCTTTCAGGGGCTCCCGTACCAGGGACAGTGTCGGTGTCACCAGCAAAAGGAAGCCAGTTACTGACTCGATCCTCTCTCCTGCCTCCAGATTTACTGGGAGCTGCACAGCCTCACAGCTCAGCCTTTCCAGGTGGTTCTACTTTAAGACTTTGTATTTCTTTCCGAGAGATACTTTGAAATACGTAAAATGTCAAGTAACATAATTGCTAGATTGGGAGAGAAAGTAGCGCTCGGTTTAGTATCTAAACCACACTCCCGCCAGGGTTCTTAAAAGACTGAAATCCATTTTTCTTTCCAGCCATTAAGAGAAGCAATTGCTTCTGGGGAGGAGGCTAGAGCCAGCTACTGTGTTCAGCACTTAAAGCAGCGACTTGGGACCAGAGCAACAGGACAGTGGGAAGGCACTTGCCTGACATGCAGCTGAACCAGGTCCATCCAGGCACCACATCTGATCCCCTGACCCTAGCCAGGAGTGACCCAGAGCACAGAGCCAGGAGTCATCCCTGAGCACTGAGCCAGGAGTCAGCCCTGAGCACAGAGCTGGGAGTGAGCCCTGAGCACAGAGCCAGGAGTCACCACTGAGCACAGAGTCAGGAGTCATCCCTGAGCACTGAGCCAGGAGTCATCCCTGAGCACAGAGCCAGGAGTCACCACTGAGCACAGAGTCAGGAGTCAGCCCTGAGCACAGAGCCGGGAGTGACCCTGAACACAGAGCTGGGAGTGAACCCTGAACAAAGCCGGGAGTGAGCCCTGAACAGAGCCTGGGGTTAGCCCTGCACACAGAGCCGAGAGTGACCCTGAACACAAAGCCAAGAGTGAGCCCTGAACAGAGCTGGGAGTCAGCCCTGAGCACCTCCCAATTCTACGTCTTTAAAGTATCCGCTCCAGGAAGGGGAAGGTACTCCCCGACCTGGCCGCCGCTGGCCCTGCTCTATGTCCCCTGGTCCCAGGAAGCTCCTCCTGCCCTTTTCGGAGGAAGCTGCCCTACTGGGGCAGGAGGAAGTCACAGACGTGGGCGCTGAGGGGGACACTTGGTGCTGTAGCAGAGACGTTTCCTGCCAAAGGGCTCTGAGACCCTTCAAGCGTGTGCTGGGGGCCCTTGGTGGACATGATACAGGCTACCCGCAGGAACCCCAGAGCCATGGCCGACAGCCCCGCCTGGCCAGGGGCAGAGAAGCACAGAGGCAGCGGTGTGCGGGCCAGCGTGAGAGCTGGGATGGTGCAGGACGGTGCAGACTGTGTGACCTGGGCCTGTGGCAGGGCTGTGGGCTGCTCTGTCCCCTCACAGGATGCTGTGCGTCTTCATGGTCCAGTTATAGGGCAATTGCATGGGTCTGCCTACATTCTTCTTCAGCAACCAGGATTTCTTGTTTTTAGGGGACCACACCCAGCGGTGCTTGGGGGTGACTCCTGGCTCTGTGCTCATGATCACTCCTAGCTGTGTGCTCAGGGTCACTCCTGGCTCTGTGCTCAGGGTCACTCCTGGCTCTGTGCTCAGGGCTGACTCCTAGCTCTGTGCTCAGGGCTGACTCCTGGCTTTGTGCTCATGGTCACTCCTGGCTTGTGCTCAGGGCTGACTCCCGGCTCTGTGCTCAGGGCTCGCTCCTGACTCTGTGCTCGGGGTTCACTCCCGGCTCTGCACTCAGGGCTGACTCCTGGCTCGGTGCTCAGGGCTGACTCCTGGCTCTATGCTCAGGGTCACTCCGGGCTCTGTGCTCAGGGTGACTCCTGGAGGTGCTCAGAGGACCAGGATTTCTTGTTGAACAAACCCAGGCTGGCCATGGAGAAGGCAGTAGCTGCTCTATTGCTCTGGTGTTTACGCCATTTCCTTGGGGGTCTTGCTGTCCTCTGGTTTGAGCCCGTGTATGGGCATGAAAGCATGGAGCAGCTCGGACTCAGGTGCTGGGCCTGGGTGTGAGTCCACGTCTCCCTGTTCCCAGCGAGCCCCAGGCCTGGGCCCGAAGAGGCACTGGAGGGAGCACTCAGCCCCATCCCGGGGAGGCACCTGGGAAACACTCAACTCCATCTTGGCCTCCGTGTCGTCCCCCTTTGGCCTGCCCCCACCCCCAGCGGTACTCAGGTCACTCCGGGGCTGGCCCTGTGCGTGGCCCCGCCCACCTCGCGCCCGCCTCACCTCTGCGTACACCCCGCTGCATGTGTAGTAGTCTCTGGACGGCAGCCCGAGCCGCGGCTGGTCAATCTGGGGAGGCGGAGAGAGAAGCCGTGAGGGGGGTGGAGACCAGGGTCGGGCCACTGGGACGCCAGGGGCACCTCCCGGCCAGGGACTGACACAGGGACGACACCCGGGTCCAGGGGCGGGCGAGGGGCAAGCAGGAGCCCAGGGACAGGCTGTGGCCAGTGTCCTTCTCAGTCAGTGCCCACCTCGTGGTCAGTGCTCATCTCAGTCAGTGACCGTCTCACGGGGGCCAAATCTTGACCATGCACCAGTCTTAGGGACACACCGGGGCTGGTCATGTGCAGGCCCCCCTGGACAGTCCAGCTGCCGAGGGCCCGGGAGGCCGGGGATGTGCTCACTATTCTCCAGCAGGGGCTTCACCTCTGCCACAGTCCGGCTCTGCCCTGCAGGGCTGCCACCCCTGCCCTGCCCCTGTGGTGTGGGACAGGCCTCCGTGGGCGCTAGAACCTTCCGGGTTCCATGCCTGACTGTCCACCACCTGTGGCCAGTGCACAGGACAGCCCCAGCTGTGCAGGGAGATGAAGGCCATTGAGCAACCAGAGGCCAGTACCCTCTGGCTGTCTGGGGTACGGCGCCGGACAGATGGCCACGAGAAGGACCTCTGGGATCTTAGCAAAAACGACCAGGGAGGGCAGAGAGCAGCACAGGTGTGACCTGGCCTGGCACGTGGCCTGCTGGGGTCCACCCAGGCACCACATCTGGTCCCTGAAGCCCCGCCAGGAGGGACCTGAGCACTGCCCGGTGAGCCCAGGACGCTGAGGCTGTGGGTGTCTACTGGCCGTGGGCCCCATGGAAGCCCGGCCTTGGGGGACCCTCCTGCTCCCTCCTGAGGGTGGACACGGCAGGCAAGGGGCTGACGTTTCTACGACCCAGGAGAACCATGTCACAGGGCCGCACTGTGAGACCAGCTGTGTCCAGCCCTGCCCCACCCTGGGATCCCGGCTCTCTCCAGGTCTGTGGTGAGGTTGGCCCAGGTCCCGGGAGCAGCGCCCTGGACAGGTCCTCCCAGTGGCACAGTGACCGTCGGATGGAGCAGGAGCCTGCTGTGGCCAGACGCACATACGTGGATTATGTGGCTTGAGGAGTTCTTGTCATCGGTGCCGACAAAAAGGTTGATCAGGACTTTCTTTCCATACTTAGAACTGAGTTGGGCCATAGACTTCTCTGCTGTCCAGGCAGCATCTGCAGGTGCCAGAGGGAACTGAGTCAGGAGCAGGTGGCAGCTGAACCCCCCGGGGATGGGAGGTAGATGGACACCCCAGAGAAGGTGCAACCAGCCAACTGTCTAAGAGGGCATGCTCGCCTGAGATATGTACCAGGAGGTTTACTCCATGGCTTGGAGGCCAGCCGCACATGCTAGGGGAAAAGGCAGCTCAGATAGAGAAGGGAGCACCAAACAAAGGGTGTTGGGAGGATCCTCCCAGGATGGGAGATGCATGCTGAAAGTAGACTATAGACTGAACATGATGGCCACTGATGACTCTTTTGCAAATGACAGCACCCGAAAGGAGAGAGAGAGAGAACAAAAGGGAATGCCCTGCCACAGAGGCGGGGGGATGGAAGGACGGAGGGTGGGAGGGATACTGGGATTGGTGGGGGTGGAGAATGGGTACTGGTGGAGGGATGGGTACTCAATCATTGTATAACTGAAACCCAAGCACAAAAATTTGTAAGTCTACAACTGTACCTCATGGTGTCTCACTAATAAAAATTAAAAAAAGAGGGCATACTCACACCCTGCACCCTGGTCACAGGGGAGATGGAGTGAGCACAGCCCCTCCTATGCCATGGGGACGGGGGAGGAACCCTCATTCTTGCTGGGTACCCTCATTCTTGTCCACCGGTCCAGCCTTTGGGGAAAACATATGGAACCTTCTGGAAAAACTAGGAATCGGGCTTCCATGTGACCCAGCGATCCTGCTTCTTGGTATCTATCCCCAGAGACACTATTTCGGAGAGACACTCGTGCTCCAAAGTTCATTGCAGCACCACACACAACAGCCCAAACCTACAAACATCCCCCACACAAGAGCAGATGACAGACAAAGGCCCCGTGGCACGTCTGCCAGTGGAAGGGCCCTGAGCTCTCAGGAAGTCCTTCTCCTGCGATTTGCTGCTCGTGGTGGATCAGAGAGCCTCGTGCTGGGTGGGGTGAGTCAGTGGCTAGACAGAGAGGCCTCTCACGTGTGGGGCCTGAACTATGTGGGCGTGGAACCAGTGTGGGAAGAACCACAGGTGACGGCGCCTCTGGGGGGGACTCACTGTAGGGCTGGTTGTCCCACTTATCTGTCGCCATTGGCCAGTCATAGATATCCGGCAGGACATTCAGCAGAGGAACCCCACCTCTGTCGTTGACCACAGCTGTGGGAAGCAACAAAGACCAGCTGGTATGAAGCGCCCAGCGGGGCCCCTCTGGGGTGGCCGCGGTCCCCTGGGGAAGGCCGGGCGAGACTCACTCTCGTTCACACAGGAGCGGTACAGGGTCTTCGCCTTCTGCACGGCCTCAATGTCCCCCTCTTTGGGCTCCTGAAGGACGTCTGAAATGGGACGTTTGAGCATCATAAGGCCGCATCCCAACCCCACCTCCCGGCCTGGGCAGAGGCCGAGACCGGGGGCCGAGAGTCCTGAGGCTCTTTCTGGAAGGCGCCGGGTGGGCTGCTGGGGGGCTTGGGGTTGGGTGGAGAGGGAAGGAACCAGCGCAGAGGTCTGGCCTCGGAGGAGAGTAGCTCTGTGTGCTGGGTGGGCGCGGGGGGACGGGCCGCCCGTCTTGCGTGCTTGGAGGCCAGTGAACGGCGACACGGCTGGTTCACCGAGAAACTTCCAGAAGGTCAGAGAGCCGGAGCACAGTGGGGCCCACTCCTGCACCAGCCTGACCCGAGCACACCCACCTTTCAGCACCACCTCAAGCTCGTCCCTCAGGATGTCAAAGTTGCTGTAGCGGGAGCTGGTCTCGGGGATGACGTGGCGTTTCATCCAGCCCCCGCAGGCATACTGGTAGAAGTCGGTGCACGGCTCGGCCGACGCGTCCATGTTCTGGATCAGCCTGGCGGCTGTAGGGTCAAAGTGGAGGACCATGGGGACTGTGCCGGAGAGGGGCCCGGGGGCGGGGAGCCCCCCCACTTGCTTTGCTCTCTCGGTCACCCCGCTGGCCAGTTCTGGGCCCAGCCGGGACACAGCTGGTGAGTGTGACTCTCGTTTGGGGGCTCCCGAGGGGTGCCCAGGAGAGCCGGGGTCCCGCCGGGATCCTTGGCTAGCCAGGTGGAGGGTCAGTGCAGGACTGCAGGGGCCGACGGTTGGGGGCTCTGGGCCCAGTGGTCCCAAGGGACGTGGTCCCAAGGGACGTGGTCCAGGAACAGAACTGGGGTCAGGACTTGCAAGGCCTGAGCCCTAACTACAGCCCTAACTACTGTGCTGTCTCCTGGCCCTGGGCTTGGTTCTTAAAAGGTGAGTCCCCTGCCCCCCTCTCCTTTCCCCTCCCTTCCCCTCCCCTGCACTGCTCCTGCCCTCCCCTGCCCTTCCCTCCCTCCCCCTGCCCTCCCCTGCCCTCCCTTTCTCTCCCCTCCCCTGCTCCCTCTCCCCCCTCCCTTCCCACAAGGCAGCCCCTAAGACCTCTTTCACCCCCATCGGGGAACACTCAGCTCAGAGCCCCTGGGGAGAGGGGGGAGGGACTGTCCTGGACTGGGGGGGAGGCGCAGCTGTGGCTTGCCTTGGGTCCTTTCCTCCCCACTCTGCACCAGCCTCTCCTTGAGCTGATGTGCCCAGCACAGTCAGAGGCGGCTGCTGGCCCAGTTCCTGCCCAGCACACACAGCCGAGGGGCTCCCAGTCCTAAAGCTGGTCTCTGAGCTGCCGCCCCCACCTCCCTGCGGCTCCGGGGGCTGGGAGGGAACAGCCGCCCACAGGGGCCGACCTGGTGCCTGGTTCCCGCCGCTGGACCCTGTTCTGAACGCCCCTCTCCCCCTCAGCCACACCTGAGCTGACCAGATGCTTCTCATCCACGACCCGGCGCCCCAGCAGACAAGGGCGGGTTGAAAGCAAACAAGAAGTTTGCCCGGAATAAGCAGATGTGAAGCCGGGCTCTGGGCCAGCTGGGCCCCCTGGGGCCTTGGGTCTCCCGTCCCTGGCACTGAGCCAGCCCCGGCTCCAGTTCCGACTCTGCTTATCTGGGCTTCCCGGTTGGCCTGAGCTGAGCGCCCGGCCCTGGGGAAGGGCTCATTTATCATTGCAGAGAAGAATCACATGCAGACAAGGGAAGCTGCTTCTTCCTAAGGATCCAGGCCGACACCAGGCACCACCCGCTGGCTCCAAACCCGTCCTCTGGGCGCCGTCCCCTTGTACTGACGGGCAGGAATTTAGGCCCCGGTGTCCGGCCACCCAGAGCAAAGCTGTAATAGCTGGACCCAAGGCACCAGCGCCCCTGAACAGCCCACCTGGACTCATTTGTCATCAGAGCCAGAGCAGAAGGCTGACACTTCCCCTAGGGTCTCCATGCAGGTATACCAGCCAAGGTACTCGGGTAAACAGCAGTAAGGAAAGCGGCAGTACCAATAGTAGTAACAGGAATGGCAGTAACAGCACCGACAGTCGTAAAACAGCAACAACACTGAGAGTAACGTTAGAGGAACAGTGCTGATACCGAGAACGGTAACAGTAATGCTAGAGGAACAGTGCTGATACTTGAGAACAATACTCAATAGTAATGCTAGAGGAACAGCAGGAACATGCTGATACAGAGAATTCAATAGTAACACTAAAGGGATAGTACTGATGCTGAGAACAATACTCAACAGCAATGCTAGAGGAACAGTACTGAGACCGAGAACAATACTCAATAGTAACGCTAGAGGAACAGTGCTGAGACTGAGGTATTCAACAGTGATGCTAAGGAACAGTACTGAGATGGAGAACAATATTCAAGTTCCTCTCGTAATGCTAGAGGAACAGCACTGGTAACAGTAACGCTAGAGGAACAGCATGAACATGCTGGAACTGAGGACAGTACTTGCAGGACGAGGAGGCAGCTGTCATGGAGACAGCAGTCAGTCTGTGACCCGGCTTGGCCTCCTGCTCTTACACCAAGGAGCTCATCCCTAGACCCTTAACACTTGCCCTCATTTGGGGGGTGGCTTCCAGCAGCTAGAGGGTCTGAGGCCCACTCCCAGAGAGTCTGCATGAAGAGCAGGACTCATGGCTCAGTGCTCGACCTGGCTCTGTGACAGTGCTCGGGGACCAAAAGGGGCGCCTGGATTCCCATGCACTGGCTGCGTTCGCCCCCTCTGGCCCTGCATGGCAGAGCTGGCTGCAGGCAGATGCAGCACGGGAGCCCGAGGGCTGACATGGGCAGCTGGGCAGTGTCCAAGCAGTTCTTCGGGTCTGACCCTCCCCTTGTGCTTCTTTCTGCTGCAGAGGGCCACGTCAGCAGGACGGTGGATGCGGTGGCCGGCACGCAGGGGTCTGCTTCGGATGGGGCAGGCAGCTCGTCTGGAGCCTGCAGGGAGGTGCTGGCCGCCCAGCCTGCCCCGTGAGCCTGGGGACAGAGGACGGGGAGGCTGGCTTCCTCTTCCCTGGCCGCGCCTGCTCTGAGGAGGCAGGCCACTCCCGGACAGGGCGTGGCGCGTCCCAGAGGCTCGAGCATGTGACCCTTGCCCCCAGGGCTTGCTGGCACCTGGGCTGGGCTCGGCGGCCCTCCAGATGGACCCAGTTCCACTGGGCGCAAGGGTGAGAGGGCTCAGGGCAGAGCCAGAAGGTTCTGCAGGTCTGGGAAAGGGGAGGGGGTGAGAGGTCACGGCCCGACAGAGGCAGGAACTCTCCAAACTGGGACTCAGCCAGAGGCAGGTCCAGGAGGGACGTGCGGGACGTGGCTGGACAGAGCTGGGGACTGGGGTCAGAACTGGGGGTGTGGGGTCGCAGAACTGGGGTCAGGACCCGCTGGCTCTGACCCAGGGACGCTGGCGGCCCCGAAGCTGGCCCTGCTCTGGCTCCGCTGGGCACTGTGCCAGTCACGTTCTCGGTACCGTGGCGTCGGCTCTAGGCCCAGCTCCAGATGTTTCCTGTGGGCTGTGCAGTGACAGCCATCTGGATCGGAGCAGTTTGGACAGGGTGACTGGAGGGCCAGGGACATGGCTCAGTGGTGAGCACTGCCTTGTAAGTGACCCCTCTGACCCCGATACTGGCCACTGTGCTGCTCGAGTGTGTGACAAGGTGGGGGATAAACCTAAGGGACGTGACGTGACACTGAGACCCTAAGGACAGTCCTGAGGGCCCCTGCGCCAGTAGGGGCTCACGAGGGCTGAGTGCTCCCCGCTTGAGTCCGCCCCAGTGGGACCACTCACTGCCCAGTGCCCGCTGGGCGCACTGGCCGCCTCCCACCTGCAACCACCTGCTGAGTCACCCCACCTCAGGCCTGCCACCTGCCCACTGGCCCGGACAGGCACTGTGGCCTACAGCTATGGCAGCTGCACTTCTCGCTGCCAGGACTGGCACCAAAGAGGGCCCTGAACCCCACCAGAGACCCCAAGCACAGAGCCGGGAGTGACCCCTAGCACAGAGCCAGGAGTGAGCCCTGAGCACAGCTGGGAGTGAACCCTGAGCACAGAGCCAGGAGTCAGCCCTGAACAGAGCCAGGAGTGAACCCTAAGCACAGAGCCAGCCAGGAGTCAGCCCTGAGCACAGAGCCAGGAGTCAGCCCTGAACACAGCTGGGAGTCAGCCCTGAGCACAGAGCCGGGAGTGACCCTGAGCACTGCTGGTGTGGCCCTTATCCAATCGACTGACCAAGAAAAGTTCAACAGAAACAGACCCTGCATCTGTCTCCGCTATGACCCATGCTCCCAGCAACCCGGCTGACAGGGACGGAGCAACACCCCCCCACTTCCTCCCCTGAACCCTCCCCCCCCATGTCTCCAGGGCCTGCGCCATCCCCCATGAGTGGGTAGCGGGCAGCTTAGGCTCTCCACGGCCTCTGCCCCACTTCTGTGCAGCCCGGCACAATCCTGGCGCAATGCTCGCTTGGTCCTGGCACAATCCCGGCTTCCTCTGGGCCCAGTGGGTGTTGCCCCTCAGTTGTCTGGCCTGGCGCTGCCCTCAGGTCCCCTGTGCCCACTGCCAGCAGGGGCCATGACGTGTCCCCGGGCCCCCAGGTGACTGTCCGGGCCCCTCCCCTGCCTGGTGTGTGGTGCTCACGGCCCCGTGGCTTCCTGCAAGAATCAGAGGCAGGGATGAGGGGGTGAGGCTCGAAAGCGCCAGGCCAGAGGGGTTCACTCGGGTCCCGCACCCAAGGCCCACAAGGACCCCCCAGGCTGACAGTGCTCCCGACTCGGGGGCCACTCCTGCAGTGGGGCTGAGGCAGGACAGGAAGAAACGCTGCCCACCTCTGACCACCTGCCCTGTGGCCCTTCTCCTGCTGACCACCCGCCCCGCTGCCCCCTGCCTGCTGACCACAAGGCTGCCTGGTCCCAGCCCAGGCCTGAACATCTTCCCTAAGATAGTGCCTGGGGGACCGTCCCCAGCCTTGTCCCCACCCGCTGTGGTGCCGACGGCGCACATTCGTCATCTCGTTGTAGGAGGAGTCCCAGTGGTGCACAGGCCCCCAGAGACTCTCAGCTGACTGGGCCTGAGGACAGGGTCCTACTCCAGCCCTGCATGGGCCACCCCGAGCAGTATTCGGGGCCCGGAGGAGCTGGGAGTGAGCCGGGGCGGGACACGCATGAGGCAGAGCCCTAACCACTTGGGCTCTCTCTCTGGCCCAGCGCTTTGGTTCTTAAGGTCAGCATCCAGGAGGGCCATGGGGTGCACTGGCCTTGCCCTGCCCTGGGCGCATGACCATGATGCTTACCTCTGCCCCTCTGCCCTGCCCTCCCTCTTGTCCTCTGGAACTGCAGAAGGCCCTGGCCACTGGGGACAAGGTTTCTCCCCGCCCCACAGGGCCCCTGGCCCCATCACCAGAGCAGAGTCTGCCCGAGGAGGCGGCTGGGTCACAGGACCTGGGTGGGGCTCGGGCAGCCTGGGAGAGCGGCCCTGCTGGCCACAGGGTCAGAGCTGGGGCTCATCTGGGCACTGCTGACCAGGCAGGAGCTGGGAGAGGCCCTGGGTTGCAGGCGGCAGGGGCGTGGCCAGGCAGGTGGACAGGGGACCTGGCCCCGCGCATGAGCCCAGCCAGAGACCCCACCCCCAGCAGCGATCGGGGCTGAGTCCCCTGTCCACGTCCCGGCGCGTTCAGCTGCTGTGTTCCACAATTTGCTTTTTGGGTTTTGGGTCACCCAGAGGTGCTCGGGGCTCACCCCTAGTGGGGCTGGGGGTCCCTGAGCCGGCCCCCCTTCTGCAAGGCGGAGGCTTTAGCCCGAGCTCTCGATCCTCCCATGGCCGCTGGACCCCCGCCCGTGTCCCCAGGGCAGCAGAGGAGAGTGGACAGCACACGAAGGGCCCACAGGGCAGGGCTGGGGAGGGGGTGGTGCCCACCAGAGCCCTCCTGGGGCCTGGGGTGGGTTTGGGGTGGGCACTGGCCTGAGCAGCCTCTCGGGGTGGGGGGGGGCCTGCACTCCTGCTTCGGTCCTCTTCCCGCGTCCCCTTCCTTACGCTTCCCCTCGGTTCCCTTTCTCCTGCCCAGCGAGAGCCATCTCTGCCCGTGGATTCTACACCCACACGCCCTGCCCGCAGACGCCACCACCGCGAGGGACACCGCCAGCCCCTCGTGCCCCAAGGCTGTTCTGCCGGTGGTGTCCCCTGACACAACCCCTCTCCTAGGCCAGGGAAGGACACGGCTCAGACTCACGAGCGGACACTTGCCAGGGAAGCCAAGACCACATTTGAGGTGACAGCTCAGCCCCAACTCAGGGCTCTGGGCCCACCTGGCCGGGAGCTGGCCGCAGTGACACTAGCAAGGTGACAGGGCGAGGGGCAGAGCTGTGGGGGCTGTGATTGGCACTGGGCATGGCGAGGCCACAGGCGGCGCCTAGAGAGGCCAGCAGGGAGTGTGGAAGCTCAGGCAATGCGGCAGTTCCTGCCTGGGTCAGCACTGCTCGTGAGCAGATGATGGACGTCCAGATAATTGTCCATCTCAGGTGCCTGGACAGGACGGGGGGGGCAGGGAGCCATGGGCACACCCGGGGGCCAGCCGAGAAGCCGAAGCACAGACCCTCCCTGTCTCACTGGCCACTGAGCCCAAGTGGCCACCTCCTGGGTCAGGGCAGAAGCCCAGGCTTGGGCACAAGCCAGGTTCCAGCTGCCTCTCCTCTGTCTCCAGACTCCACCCCAAGGGACGGCCTGTGTCCACCCATCTTCTCCCACGGGGACACAAGTATGCCCAAGGCTGGAGCCGATACCCAGTGCCTGACCCAAGCCCAGGGCTGCCTGGGTCAGCACTGCCCGTGAGCAGAGAGCCTGGTGGCAGCTCTGTTCAGGAACGCTCACCTGCCCGGGCCATCAGACCCACAGACCACCGGGTGCCTCGTCACCTCTACTGCGGTCCAACTGGGGATCCGCCTACCAGCTGACCAGTCCTGAGGCCGTCTTGGCTCAAGCAATGGAGGGGTTAGTGCCCCGCAGAGTCCAGCCAGCCCCTCCTCTGGCCCGCAATGCCTCAGGCCTGGCCATCAGGCTTCCTCTCCGGAGCCGCCGACTCTGAGCCCCCCAGCACCAAGAGCCCAGATACCCCATGCAGCTCTCACCTGACTTGATGCATTCTGAGGACTTGCAGATGCCATCTGGAAAGGAAGGGATGGGGGAGGGGTGTGAGCATCTGTAAGGCACCTTCTGCCTTCACTTTCCCTTTTGCCCATCTAAAAGCTCTACAGGGAGACTCTGAACATTCTGGGTCACTGTCAGTAGTTACAAAAGCAGCAGGGATCTCCAGAGGTCAGTCTGCATCTGAGCTGTCCTTCATGAGGAAAAACGTAACTGTTCTGTTTGGAGGCCAACCTGGCAGGGCCCAGGGGACCCTAGGGGATGTCGGGATCGAACCCGGGTCGGCCGGATGTCGGGATCGAACCCAGGTCAGCCGCTCTCATTCCAGATGCGTTTTTCTTGCCTCTCTCCCCACTCAGGCGGACTGCGGGTCTGAGGTGCCCTCTCGCTTTACGCAGCAGCTGCCCTGTCCTGACTGCTACTGAGGACAGCGGCTTCCCTGACTCCAGGAGGCCGTTAGAGTCCCAGCCTGGCTCCTCGCGTCCCGCTGCCCCCACGGCCTGCACTCGAGCGGGTGCCACTCACCGTCGTAGGTGGCGTAGAGGACGATCATGGTGACCGCAATGATGGTCAGCAGCAGGACCAGCACTGACAGGCTGATCTCCAGTGGTGACCCGTACCGCCTCCGGGGCTTGGATGAGCACATGTCTGCTATGTCCCTCTCACTTTCGGACAGACCCATCACCTAGCGTCTGCAAGGAGAGGAGAGGACTCAGCGCGAATCAAAGCACAGCGGGTGAGCACAGGCGGCCGAGGACGCTTACGTATGCTTTGTGAAAAATCAGCGTATTTTCAGTGAAAGTCGAGAGTCTGATTCTGAAAACAAATGACCCGTGCAGGTCCTGGTCACTGGGGCTGCCTGTGGGTGTGGGCAGAGTCAGGCCAGCACAGCAGCGGGAGGCTTGCGTGGGCCCCTTGGCTGAGTCCTCGGCCGGGGCCTTAAGTCTGCTTCGACACGCGTCTGAACTTTGGACAGAGCCAAAGGTGCGGTACTATCTCATTCCTCCATGGGAGACCAATGACTGACTCTTCCTGGTCTTGACTAAGCAACAATGTGATAACCAAAGGGCAAACACTTCTAATTTATAAATGACACTCACTTTCAGAGTCCAGAGCAGCTCCCACGAAAACCTCCCAGAGAACCCGGGGCACGCGGCCACCTCCCAGAGAACCCAGGGCACACGGCCACCTCCGGGGGAACCCGGGGCACATGGCCACCTCCCAGAGAATCCTGTGAGAACATCTCCCCACTTCATCAGAGTCAGCAGCTTCCACGGAAGAGGAAAACCATGGGCCATCTTTCTTCCCTCATCATGCAGCTGAAGAAAGAAACCACAGGGCCAGAGCAATAGCACAGTGGGGAGGGCGTTTGCCTTGCACATGGCCAACCCGGATTCGATTCCTAGCATCCCATATGGTTTCCCAAGCACTGCCAAGAGTGATTCCTGAGTGCAGAGCCAGGAGTAACCCCTGAGCATCACTGGGTGTGACCCAAAAAGCAAAAAAGAAGGAAGCTGCAGGGATGGTTCTGCCTCCTGGCTGGGCTGAGGGCAGTGGCCAACAGCGGTCAGCAATGTGGGTCACCTCCCTGCTGGGATGGGGGGCAGAGCTGGCAGCGGTCAGCGGTACTGGGCTTCCCAGCACCCTTCCAGAGCTGTTCTCGGGGCCTGGCCTGGATGAACCCATCCCCTCTTTGAGGTGGCTATGACTCTCTCAACGGCACCCCTCACAGACTGGGCTGAGGACGTCCAGGTGACCGCTAACCAGTAGAGCTAGTGAGTATGCTGTAGAGATCACAGCAGTCACAGTTTGAAATAAAACTTCTGTCCCGCCACAAGTGCTACGAGACCAGCACGCAGAAAGGAGGCGGCAAGAGTGAGGGACAGAGCTGAACATACCAGGTGTAGCCCCCTGCACTCCCCTATGGTCCCCCGAGCACTGCCAAGAGTGATCCCTGAGCACAGAGTCGGGAGTCAGCGGTTAGGACTGCGGAGGCAGCCCCCAAATCAAACCCAAACAAAGAAACTGAAGCAGAACACACATTTTCCCTTGCTTGTTTGGAGAGGCCTGGTGATGTCAGCAGCCATCGACCATTTAGCACTTGGGTTTTTCTGCGTGGCTGTACGGAATTGATGAGCTGTCGCTAGTGTCATAAAGATAAGGTGTGTGACCTGAAGAGGCTGCCGACACGGGCCTAGGGCCCGTGACCCTGGCTGCGAGGGCTCTCTGCATGACACGGAGGCACCAGCATGGACAGAGGCTGAGATCTGGTCTCCAGCGGACGCCAGAATCCAACCTCCCCAGGGAGCAGTACGTGGATCACAGGTGACTTTACGGCTGCCGGGCGAGTCTCAGACACCCCGTCCTCATGGTTACACGGGACCACAACCAGGACAGGCTCAGAAGCCAGAACAGTTTATCAGGCCATGAAAACACCACGTTCTCTGTGAGTGCCGCGAGGGTGGCTGTGTGGGGGCAGACTCCTCCGGACTCAGCCGCTCCCGGGGACTCAACGCTCCATCTCGAAGCAGAGACAGGTGCAGGCCGCGGGAGAGAAGCACAGGCTGGAGGCTGCAGACGGGGACACGGCCGGGAGGGAGGCAGTGAGGAAACAGAGGACACTGAGCCAAGGGGCTCTCAGGCTGCTCAGCTCACTCGCTGGAGAATCTCCAGGGACCCCCGGAGACACCCAGAGGAGGTTCCTGTGGGGCCCTTTTCTCTCCTCATGCTCCTCCTTGGAAGCTGCAGTCAGGCTGCTCACGGAACCAGCAACGGGCGAGCTGTGTCCTTGGGGAGACGCGCCCTGGGTTCTCCTTGGTTTCCCGCACTCGGCTGTCGGGGAGGCCCGGGGAGCTCCTGGCGGCTGCCATGTTGTTCCGAGCAGGCAAAGACCCCCTCCCCCCCGCATGTCCCCGGGGACTCTTTCTCCATCTGCCTTAAGTCATTACATTACTCAAGAGCCCGGAGCCTCCCTGGCAGCCCTCGGGGCTGGGGCCAAACCCCGGGCTGCTCACTCTCAGCCTCGTTTTGTTTTTTTTGGATCACACCCAGCAGTGCTCAGGGTTCCTGGCTCCGTGCTCAAGGTGTTCAGGGCACCACATGGGGCGCTGGGGATCGGACTGGGGTTGGAATGCGAAGGGCAAATGCTGACCCCTGTACTCAGCCCAGCCCTTCGAGCACTTCAGGCAGGCGGCAGCGGGCGGTTACACGTGCAGTGGCAGACACTAAGTAGGACACAGTGAAGTCTGGAGTCCCGTATGAAGCAGACTGAGCAAACAGGCCTTCCTTCACACACCGTCCCTGCACGGCGCCGAGACAGAGGGTCACCACATGCCCTGCAGGGGCTGGGAAGGAGAGGACGAATGGCTACTGCCAGCCTCAATTCCCAAGGTCCCCGGGGAGCTCGAGGGCCTGGCTGCTGGACCCTTCATAGCATACATGGCTGCATTCCTGGCTCTGCAGCTCCGGGGCCAACTGTACCGAGATGCAAGCAGGACCGAAGGGCTTGTAGGTGGATGGGTGGGAAGGGGCACCCAAGGGGAACCCCGACTCCGCTCCCGCTCCTAGGCAGGGCAGAAGCTGCACCTTGGTGGTGTCCTGGAGATACCAGCCCAGACCCAGGAGACCCCAGGCCCGGGTGCCCAGGACAGGGAGGGGGAACTGGACGCCTTGGCCGCCAGCTGCCTGCCCGCAGGTCCAAAGGTAGCCGGACTCGGCCGGTTTTTCCAGGAGTTGGTGACCTTTGTCTCCCACTGGGCAGCCAGAGGCATCGGACCTGGGCAAGTCCTTACCCAGAGACCGGTCGGGCTGCACCAACTCTCCGGGATGGATCCGCACCCCGGAAACTTGTGCTGGCTGCACCCGACGCGAAGCGCGAGCAGCCGCATAAATTATATAACGGGAACGAAATCGCGGCTCAAAGCAAAGCAAGACGTGGAGGTGGGAGGGCGGCTGGGCTCAGGGGGCGGCTGGGAGCAGCCGAGGTGAGTCGGGCCGGAGCGCGGATGCGCTCAGGGCGCGGCGGCGACGGTCCGAGCCCCGCCCGGCCCCCCCACCCGCCCGCGCGCGCCGCTGATCCCCCGCGGCCGAACAGACCCCGACTCGCCGCGGTCTCCTGACCGCGACAGCCCCGCGCGCGGGGTCCGGGCGCACGGCCTGGCCAGAATCTGCACCGCGCGCCCCGGACCCCTATCGCCCCCGACCCCGAGCTCTCCGGGACCCCCTGCGCGCCCCGACCCCGCGCTCGCCCTGGGACCCCTCCCCTTCCCGCTCGCTCCGGACCCCGCGCTCGCCCGGGATCTCCTGATCGCCCCCCCGACCTCGCGCCCGCCCCCGACCCCGCGCTCGCCCTGGGACCCCTGATCGCCCCCGACCCCGCGCGCGCCCCCGATTCCGCGCGCGCCCCGGATCCCCCGATCGCCCCGGACTCCGCTCTATCTCCGGACCTCCTGCGCGCCCCGACCCCGCGCTCGCCCTGGGACCCCTTCCTTTCCCGCTCGCTCCGCACCCCGCGCTCGCCCCGGATCTTGGGCTCTCCTGGAGCCTCTGCTGGGCGCACCCCACCCTCCCCGCCAGCCGCGTCCCGCCGGACACCCCACCCCTCGAGGCTCGCCTTTTCCGACCAACCCAGCGCCCAGCTCCGGTGCCGGCGGGACTCACGGTGGGATTCCGGAGAAGTTGCAGCTCGAAGCCCACGTGTCTCGTCCAACGCTCGCCGGGCCAGGCCCTCCCCAAGGCAGCCTGAGCTCCCGCCCCGAGCCCCGCGCCACCCCCCGGGTCCCAGCGCGCCCCCCGGGCCCCGCGTGCCTTCCCCGAATCCCGCGCGCCACCTGGGACCCCGCGCACCCCCCGGGACTCCGCGCGCCCTCCAAGACCCAGCTCAGCCCCCGGGACCCCGCGCACGCGCCCCGAGCCCCGCATGCACCCCCCCCCCCCGGGATTCCGCGCGCCCCCCAGGACTCTGCGCGCCCGCTCCAACCCCGCGCGCCCCCCGGGACCCTGCGCGCCCTCCAGGACCCCGCGCGCCCCCCGGGACCCTGCGCGCCCGCCCCAACCCTGTGAATCTCGGAGACTTGAGCGCCCCCCCGGGACCCTGCGCCCCAGCGGCCTGCGCCGCCGCCCAGCGGACCCCGGGCAGGTCGGAGCCCCGGGCCGCCGAGACACTCACCGCGGCGGGGAGCGCGGAGCTGCCCGGCCCCGCCTCGCCCCCGGCGCATCCCGGCGCCCGGCGCGTCGCCCCCGCCCCCGCCCGCCGCAGGACCCGCGGGAGGGGGCGGCGCCGGTGCCCCGGGCAGCGCGGGTGGCCCCTGAGCGCGGCGGCCCGCGCCGCCCTCCCGGCCCGCGCCCTCCCCGCCGGGCCGCCCTCTCCCGCCCGCGGCCCCGGCCCCTCAGTCTCCGCGGGCACCGGGCAGCGAGCACCGGGCACCGGGCACCGCGACGTCCAGGGCCTCGCCCGCGCCGGCCCCGCCGCCCCGCAGCCGCGCGCTCCCGCCGGCCACAGACCCGGAGCCGCCGCGTCCCGAGTCGGGAGCTCTGGCCGAGACAGCCCGGGCTTGTTTTGTTCTGCTTTTTTTCCCCTTCCATGGCTTTTAGCTCAATGATTCAATGCCAAGTATTCAAGGAGTTTTAACTTTGATCTCTTTTCTCTCGTAAGATCTTTTCGTAGGATCTCTCTCTTACACTCGCACATGCCCACACACTCACACACACTCGCACATTCACACACACACACACACATACACTCTCACACACTCAAACACTCACACACTCACAAACACACACTCACACTCACCCAAACACATACATGCACTCAACACATTCACACACTCACACAAACACATACATACACTCACACACTCACACACACTCACACACACTCACACACGTACATTCACACACAAACACACATGTACTCACCTCACACTCTCACATACAAACACACACTCACACACTCACACTCACAAACACACACACACATACTCACATACAAATTCACACACTCACCAACACACTCAAACACACAAACTCACGTGTTTCTGTCTCTTACACACCATACATATACATTCCACACACAAACACATACATTCCCACACATACATACACTCACACACAAACACAAAAACTCACACACACTCACATATGTCTCTCTCTTACACACACAAGTTCATCCACACACACTCACACAATCGCTCACACACACACATCTCTATCCCTCTCCCTCTCCTCTCTCTCTCCCCTGCCTCTGTCTCTCCCTGTCTCCCCCCTCCCCCTGTCATACTGGAACACAGGTGGGAATGATTCGCTGGTAATATCCAGATTATTCCCTCCTGGACAGTCTCACCCCGCCCGACACATTCTTCTCTCTCTCTTTTTTTTTTTTTATAGTAGAAAGTGGAGCAAAGCAAGAAACAGGACAAGTGCCAAGGAAACAGTGATCCCTGCACAGGGGAGAGATATCTGCAGAGTGAAGCGGTCTCTGAACCGTGGTGGGCACAGGGACAGCTAGTGCTGGGCCCTCTTGGCTCTCCACACCCTGTGGGTACACGTTGCGGACACCCTGTAGCCGCCCTGGTCACTCCCTAAAGGAGCGTGGCAGGGACTTGGGGGAAGTTAACATTCCCCAGCATCCTCTGAAATTCGAACTGTGCACCTAAGATTCAGGAACAGAGAGGAAACGTGTTTACCCACGTCCCAGACTTGTGGCTCAGGGCACAGCCTCTAGGAAGCCTGTATTGTGCCCAGGAGGGGACCGAGGCCACGGGCAGGGCCGCGGGAGGCCGGGGAGGAGGCAGGTGGCTGGTCAAGGTGAAAGGTGGTTGGGTGGATGGGGGCAGCACTGAGACCGGCCAACTCCAAGTGCCGGGTGATCTTTGGCCGTGTCAGAAGGCAGTGCGGTCTCTCGGCTCTGTGGCCCTTCAGAAACCCGCTGTGGGACTGACACCCCCACCCTGTGAGCACGAGGCTCCTGCTGGTCCCCAGAGCCACCACAGACACCGCTGGCTGGGTCGGGGTGCCCAGGGCCCAAGCCCTCCCTTTGCGGCTGTTTGGTGGGCAGGTGTGAGCACCGGAACTTACCTCTGAGAGAGCTCAGAACTGGGTGTGCTGCTGGGGTGTGCCCCGAGCTATGGCGGCTGTGGCCTCGGAATCCCGGCCGGAGGGGACAGACCTCAGCTCAGCCTCACATGCACAGGCATGTGTAGTGGATGCACAGGCATGTGTAGTGCATGTGTATGAATGTGTGTGCATGCATGTGTGTGCATGTGCGTGTTTGTGTGAGTGCACACACACATGCACACACTCACACACACACGTTTCCTCAGTGACAAGAAGGGTTAATTTAGGAAAATTCATTCTCAAGGAAATCGACATTTTTAAACACTTCACGGCTTAGTCTTTATTGCTTTGCAGCTAAATTACCAAAATGTTATTTGGGTCTTACATAATTAGCGGCGAATAAAAATGAATTAGAGAAGTCCTTTCATTTTTTTCTTGTACCCAGTTCTGGTTCTTTCTTACAGCACCCAGCGCACATTAAACATTGGATGCATTTCTACTGATTAACATAATAATGACTGTTGGTGGTGGGAAGGACTGTCTGGGGTAAAAGAATTCCCACGTTTATATTTCAACAGGAAACACAAGGTTGAACTCATATGCCTCGAATTAACACTTCGATGATTCAAAATTTCAAGGGAGATTCTATTTTTCAATTTGCAAAAAAAAATTTTAAAGAGAAAGTTTCCTTTGGAAAGCTATAGTGTATTTTTACAGTTTAACAGAATACAAGATTTGTTTGGCCTGATTTGTTTATAATACCTATAAGTTCAGAGCAGAAAGAAGAAAACAAAGAACATTTCTGACTTTTTTCTCTATGTTTTTGGCGGGAGAACTCCGGCAGTGCTCCAGATGCGGGGTCACTGCCGCTGAGGCCCCTCTGCAGCCCGCGGCTCTGCTGGGTGCCCAGCCTGCAGTGCTCACTCAGACTCAGACTCAGGCTCCACCCCGTGCCAAGGTCATGCTCCAGCCCTTTGGGCCATCTCCTGGGGTCTCATTAAAGACCTTCATTCTATCCCAGGTTTGTGAATGAAGATTTTTCAGTCTCCTCAGTCCCCGAGCATACATCGTAGTTTTAGTTTGATCTAGTTGCGGAAAACAGAGGGGAAAAAAGACCGCAGGAAGTGGTTCAGAAATTTTCCCTGCTTTGGTTTTTAGACAGAAAAAAGGGAATGAGCATCTTCAGAATATATTTATTTATTTATTTTGCTTTTTTGGGTCACACCTGGCGATGCACAGAGGTTACTCCTGGCTCTGCACTCAGGAGTTACTCCTGGCGGTGCTCAGGGGACCATATGGGATGCTGGGAATCAAACCCGGGTCGGCCGCGTGCAAGGCAAAAGCCCTACCCGCTGTGCTATAGCTCCAGCCCTGCTTTGGTTTTTAGGCAGAAAAAAGGGAATGAGCATCTTCAGAGTACAGGGCAAAAGCAAAAAGCAAAAAAAAACAAACCAAAAAAACCAAATAAAACCCCAAAGAGGTTTCATCACTTTCAGACATGGGTTTTCAGCTGGGGGCGGGGGGGTTGTCTCTTTATCTCATATGTGCTCCCCTCACGGCTACAAGGTGCAAGTGACGACTCCGGGACAGGGGGACTGGGGCTCTTCCCAGAGTGGGCACATGGCAGGAATCGACAGAGCACTAGGTGACACTCGGAGAACTGAGCTCGCAGGGCTGCCCACGGCTGGGCAGAGGTTTCCAAGGTCACCCAGAGGGTATCTAAGCTGGGGCTGTGATGTCCGTGGCCTGCCGAGGGTCGGGACGGACACTGCCCCGCAGCCTGCCGGCCTCTACAAGAGCAGAGCTGGGGAATGTGTTTAAAAGGTCCCCCCCCACGCACCAGCAATGGTGGGGTTGGTGTCGAAACAAATGCCTAAAACTCAACTGTCAATAACTTTGAAAATCATAGTTTTTTTTTAAAGGGCTGGAGCAGGGGCTGGAGAGATAGCACAGCAGGTAAGGCGTTTGCCTTGCACGCGGCCGACCCAGGTTCGATTCCCAGCATCCCATATGGTCCCCTGAGCACCGCCAGGAGTTAACTCCTGAGTGCAGAGCCAGGAGTAACCCCTGTGCATTGCCGGGTGTGACCCAAAAAGCAAAATAAATAAATAAATAAATTTAAAAAAATAAATAAAGGGCTGGAGGGATAGCACAGCAGGTAAGGCATCTGCCTTACATGCAGCCAACCTGGCAGACCTGAATTCTATTCTTCCGCCCATCTTGGAGAGCCTGGCAAGCTACTGAGAGTATCTCGCCTGCACGGCAGAGCCTGGCAAACTCCCTGTGTGGCGTATTCAATACATAAGTCTCACAACATTACTGGGTCCGCTCGAGCAAATCGATGAACAACGGGAGGACAGTGACAGTTTTTTTTTGAAAACAAATAAAGGCACTAGTGAGCCTCCAGCAAGAAAGTGAAAGGAAGGCAGAGAAAACCAGGAGCACGAAGGGGCTGGCACTGACCACAGGCCGAGGGCTGGACGTGGGGCCCAGGGGTCTTGGACAAAGACCCTAAGTCCAGGAGGCAGGCAGGAGAACCCCAGAGCAAACTTGCCTGGGGCACTGAGTCACAAGCGCCCTCAGAATCGCAGAAAGGAAGCATGGGAAGGCACCCCTCAGCGTCCCTCTCTTCCTCCCTCTCATGGCCCCTGGTCTTTTTCCCCTCAGGAGGTCCATCTGCATCCAGAGGCTTCACAGGACACCCCAAGATCCAGAAGGTGGCTGGCAGTCGGGCCAGGGTTTACCGGACTCTGTGGCCAGAAGGCGAGGTTTGGCCGAGTGCGTCCAGCTGGACCCGGCAAGACCAACGTGGAGGGAGTGGCACACCCGGCTCTCCCAAGGAGCCTCTGAGGAGAGGACTCAGGTGACAGTGCAAGGCCTGACCAAGGCCGTGTGTGTGGTCGGGCAAGTGAGCAGAGAGTAGAGAAGGTGTCCAGGTGAGTCTATGCAAACCCTGAACCCCACTCCGTGCGGGGGAGAAAGGCCAAGCCAGACCCCAGACAACAGGGTGTCCCTTGGGGGTCACGGCTGTCGGTCTCTGCCCCCCTCTCATGTGGGGAAGGAGTTAAAGTTACTCATGCGTGTGAGTTCCTACACTCCCCGCCAAAATAACCCACCAGAGTGCTACAAGCCACGTTCTAACAGCGAAGTAAGCTAGAGTTCGCTGGAAGGGAACCTAAAAAAGGCAACCGAGGGGCTGGAGAGGCTGATCTGGGCTCAGACTCC